GTTCAATGATTTTTGGCAGAGTTATGCCCTTTCACTTTGAAAATAATATGAAATTTCAGTTTCTGTTCATTATCTACCCAACAGTGTTACATATTCAACTTAAATTTGACAGATGGATACGTCAAAGGAATGGCAGGTCAAGTTGGAATTTGGTCATGGTTTTGATGATTTTTTGGCAGAGTTATGTCCCTTTCACTTTGAAAATAATATAGATACATCTTAGGAATAAGCAGTTTAAGTTTGAATTTGGTCGTGGTTCAATGATTTTAGACAAACTTATCTTTCCTGAATGTTGGAAAAATTTTGAACTTTCAGTTTCAGCACTCATACTTTTAGCCATTATTTTGGCTACAAATATGCAATATGCTATTTTTAAAAGGTTAAGACTGAATAATTTCAGTGCCTTGAACATTGTATGAAAATGGTTTGTGTAAACATTGAAAAGTTTTAAGGGCTTTGAACTTAAAATGAAAAAAATAATTAATGCACCATCTGAAATTTTGGCTGCATGCGGGGGCATCTATGGCATGATGACACATTTCTAGTTTAAACATTATGATTATCTAGACAATATTTTACTTCAAACATTTGTCATTCTCAATTATTGGTCATTTAACATTATAATAGACAATGATCATTTGAAATATACAGCTTATTTGCACAATATGACAGCTGAAAACGAGCATAATGTCATTTTAAGGTACATACTTACAAAAAGAGAAGCTGTAGATGTATCAGTTTTACCCTATTCACTTTTATGAAGAAATTTTTTTGTCACCATCATTGTTATTGCTATGATTTGTGACTTGGCAAAGTGATTTGAAGATTTTTTATTAAGTAAAATTTAGGCAGAATTTTAATTTAGAAAAACATGTGACTGAAAAAGTGATTTAAAACATGTCAGAAAATTATTGTTAGAAAATTAATAAATTGTTTATTTAACGTTTAATTTCAGTCCCTTACTGGTGATGATGTCAGACAAATTTGTTACAAATATATCTATGATAAATGTCCAGTAGTTGCAGCTATAGGTTAGTATGAAATATGTTTATAATTAACCCTTAACTGGCTTAATATTTGAGATAGACCTGTCCAGTTTCCTTTATTGGAACTGTCCATTATCAATTTTTGAAGGGATATCAACATGAAAATTTATAGTTTGTCAGTCAGTTGTATAGTGCCTGGTCAGACTGCACTCAAGTGCAAGCTGGCCCGGCTTTATACTGTCACTCTCGGGGGTCTAGCTGGTTAAGGGTTCAAACATTTGTAATTTGCCATTTAGTTTTAATAGATTTGTTGTAAACATTTCATGTTAGGAGTGAGTTGTTTTGTATTTACTGTAATTATAATGTAGAAAAAATTCATTTAGACAAAAAAGAAATAAATAGTGATTGAATACAAATTATGTATTACTTTAAAAAAAGAATAGAAAATTAGCTCACATGTCACAAAGTGACATTGTGAGCTTTTGTGATCGCTTTTCATTGGGTGTCTGTTAACTTTTACTTTAAATGACATCACCTCATAAACCACTAAGCCAATTTCATTAAAACTTCATAGGAATGTTCCTTTGGTAGTCAACTTTTAAAATAAATTATTATTCAAAGAATTTAATTCCAAGCAGAACTCTGGTCGCCATGGCAACCAAAAGAAAAAAACTAACATATCTTCTTTTAGAATGCCGAAAGAGCTAGAGCTTAAATATTTGGCATGAATCATCACCTGGTCAGTGTTTACCAATTTTGTTCAAATAAATGCCCTGGGGTCAAAATTGGCCCCACCCTGGGGGGTCATTGATTTTCCTTATTTCTTTATAGTAAAAACTTAAAAAATCTTCTTTAAAAAAACCCCAAGTAGCTAGGGCTTAGATATTAAGCAGTGAAACATCTTCTAGTGGGTGTCTACCAAGTTTGTTCAAATAAAAGTCCTGGGGTAAACATTGGCCCCGCCCCAGGGGGTCATTGATTTTCCTTATTTGAATATAGTAAAAACTTAAACAATCTTCTTTTAGAAAAACAAAATAACTAGAGCTTAGATATAAAGCATGAAACATATTCTAGTGGGTGTCTACCAAGTTAGTTCAAATAGAAGCCCTGGGGGTAAAAATTGACCCGCCCTAGGGGGTCATGGTTTTTCCCTTTATGTAAATACTAAAAAACCCAAAGAGCTAGTGCTAAGATATTTAGCATGAAACATCTTGTAATGGGTGTCTACCAAGTTTGTTCAAATAAGGGCCCTTGGGTTAGAATTGGCCCTGCCCCAGGGGTCATTGATATTCCTTATATGTGTATAGTAAAAACTTAAAAAATCTTCTTATAAAAACCCCAAAGAGCTAGAGCATAGATATTTATCATAAAATGGGTGTCTACCAAGTTTGTTCAAATAAAAGCCCTTGCTGGTTAAAAATTGGCCTTGGCCCAGGGGCCTATATACAGGTTTGTGATTTCAGGGCCATCATGTCCCTCTTATTCAAAATCTTACATAAATAATAAAAATGCTTTATGCTTGTTTTTTTCCAGGACCAATTGGTGGATTGATGGATTACAAACAGGTTACGAGCATCTATGTACTGGTTAAGAAAATAAACAATTATTTATTACAATTAAGACTGTTAACTGTAGGTGTAAAACCTATGACTTTATATACATGATCACACCATGCCAGATATGATGACAGCCTAGGAAATGTTACGCTCTTATATCAAGATTGGACACCACAAATTGGAATTATTTAAATTGTGATAGATTGAGTATTTTTTATGTGTATTTGTTTTTCGTTTTTGCGTTGGCAATGGTAGATTTTTAAATATTAAAAAATTGCCAGAAAACTGAAATGGAGTTGTTTAATTTGTCAACATCAGTTATTTCACATGGTATAAATGATGTATTTCCTATACTGGTGTTTACCATAATAGTTATGCCTGAAGGGTCTGCCGGTTTAACCCTACTTACACAACATTCATGTCCGGAATGTAACTTTGTCATGCAATGAAGGATTTTTAAATAACAGCATATATTGTCTACCACATTAAGACTATGTGTTGCATCCAAGACTCCTGTCCCTACTGCCTTGGTCACGGTTGCACTACTAGTTTGAAGGTTCTTATTGTCACAAAAAGAGTTTGAATGTGATCATTCCTTTCTGGACTGGAACTTTTGTCATGCATTGAAGGATTTAAAAAAAACTTGGCACAAATGACTACCACATCATGATGATGTGTTTAATCTAAGACATATCTCTACCAGTACCTCAAAGGTCAAGGTCACACAGTTTGAAGGTTCACAATTACAATCACATTCATGTTTGGACTGTATCTTTGTCATGCATGGAAGGATTTTTAAATAATCTGAAATATATGGCAACGTGACGATATCCATGTCCCTACCTTTAAGGTCAAGGTCACACTTGGAGATTGAAGGAACAAATTTGTGTCCAGACTGTAACTTTGTCATGCATTGAAGGATTTTATAATTACTTTGCATAAAGATCTAACACATCAAGATGATGTGTCATGTTCAAGACCCATGTCCCTACGTCCGAGATCAAGGTTGTAAATTTAGCACTTCATTTCACAACAATATTAAGCAATTAGTTAGTTTTATTATCTTTTCCTTTCATAATACCTTTTGCAATACTTATAAAACCTTTTCTGGGGCATTTTTTTTGGGGGGGGGGGCTTTGTTGTTACATAACCGGCTTATATTCTGTGGAAAGTGGTGAAATATTCCAAAATATTTTAAGAACACACATGACTATTTCCATTATCAGTATGTCAAGTGAGCTTTACTTGGTTATGCATTATGTCTTATTTGTGGCTTCATAATACAAATGAGATCTTAAGTTTCTTATGCAAACAAGAGCTATGCTGAAATATATATCCTCAGTTACAAATTTACAAGGTATTGCAGAGAAAATTATGCCTTCAAGATAGACAGCAAATTTATTGTTGAAAAAAGCACACATGATTTTTCGTGGAATGTGAAGACAAAAGAAAATCGGTGTAATTTTTTTTGAGGTACTAGTATCATATTTAGCACCATAGGATAATTGAACTTTCTTGTTTGCATATAGAGGGGCATAAGTTTGTGAATAATAAATTGATTGCAGAGAAAATCAGACTCATTGAAATCCTTTGTAAGATATCCTGCAGAAACAAATTGTCTAAGGACAGATGGACAACACCAATGTTTCTTTAGGCATATAACAAAAGCTGTAACTGAAGAGTGACCTATGCCCCCGAAAGGAAACTTTGATATAATATCCCCAATATATGCCAAAAATCTAGTAATATATGCATGACCGCTTTTGATTATATCATTCCTAAAATTTCATTTATTCCATTAGAAGTATTGGAGAAATAGGCCTAGTCTTTTTAAAAAAAAGAAAAAAAAAGATGTTACTATTTATAGCTCTGGCCGCCATTTTGTGCAGCGGAGTGGAACGTGCCAGCAATATGCACAACTAAGAATGGCACTGATCATTCTTGTGAAGTTTCACTGAATTTCCCCCAGCGGCATTGGAGATGAAGCGTGGACAAGATTACCAGATGGAAGGACGGACAGTGTGATTACTATATGCCGCCCTTATGGGTCATAAAAAAGAACTAGACTCCAGAGGATTTTTATCAGCTTGCTTGTAGGTTGTCCCACCCAGTTGCCCATTATATGCTTAGTTTATTTGTAATATTAACACACTTTTATTTGATTTTTTATTTGGGGGTGAAAGACAAGTGACCAATGGACACATTGTCCAAGATCAATGGTCAAGGAGTAATTTCACCTCACCTACGGATCAAACCTGTGACCCTTGAATTAAAAAATCAAATGCTAACTTGATTGAGCTAAGCGGGTACTTGGACAGGCTGACAACCTTTGACACCATCCAATAGTAAAGCTGAATAGTTGTCATAATGACAAATGCAGGAACGAAAAGTGTACTAAAGTTGTAATAATCAGACAAGGCCTAGATTTTCAGGTATCAAAATAAGTAAACAAACACAATTTTATCATTTGTAGAATTAGTTTTATTTCCTGTTTTAGGAACATTTTATTTTACAAAAGGTTTCATTTACGTCACATTAAACAAGCTTGGTGGAATATTTCATAAAAAATCAACATATAAATAAATACATCTATAGGTACAATTCACAGAATTATTTACAAAACAAAAATGCATTTAAATGCTAACAAAGCAAGTAAATATATTGAATTATTTATACAGGAAAATGGTGAATGTCATAAGAACACAATGTCATTATAAAATGTCATGATTTTGAACAAGGAAATTTATACATTGCAAAATTTCATGAAAATAAACATGACATACATTGAAACAGTTTATCCTGCCTGAAAAAAAACAACAAAAAAACATTGTCTACATTCAAAAGCTTGCACTATGTTCAATTTTTGTCAAATTATCACCTTATATCAGTATAGATTAAATTCTTGTTTTATACCTGATAAAGTTGTTATTTCCATACGAATAAATAAAGTTACTTTTAAATTAAGAGACTTTTTCTTAATCATTTAAAATCTGCATAAAATAAGGGAGAAATGTCAGTTTTGCAACAAGTAGTTCAAACAAATTTATAATTTCCAAACCAAACTGATGATTTTTATAAGAAATTTTCATTGATAAAAATGAAATTGAAATGTGTTCAAACAGTTTACTAAACAAAATGTATTATGGCACAAACACAAAATAAAAGGAATGTACTTTAACATGTACAACATGTTGTCATACTTCTTACTTTAACATGTTTTCACACTTTTTTTTACTTCAACATGTTTTCACACTTTTTACTTCAACATGTTTTCACACTCCTTACTTTAACATGTTTCCTCACTTCTTACTTTAACATGTCCTCACAGATTTTACTTAAACATGTTTTCACACTCCTTACTATTAACATGACTCTTATTTTAACATGTTCTCACATTCTTTACTTTAACATGTTCTTACACTTCTTACTGTGAGCATGTTCTTTAACATTTCTCCTTTTACTAACTTAATAAATGAAAAATCTTCAAGGAAACAATAAACTTACAAAACTGAGATCAAATTATTTTAATACAACTACACATACATAAATAATAGCCAAGTTTAAATATACATAAAACTGCAAGAGGGAAAGATGTTAGCGATTCTTTACTATGTATAGTTACTTTTTAAGATTTGTTTCCTTATGAACAAACTTATGAATAATGATTTTTTCAACCATGAATGAAAAATGGAATAAAATATGCAACTCCTTTAAAGCCAAATCATGTAAAATAAATTTTGTATAAAAAACCATTATTATGCTCTTTGGTTTACCAAAAATCACCGAGTAAATTGTTCAAATGTTCATCTGGCATGACGGATATTTGAGCTCAAATTCACATATCTATTCAAAATTCTGTAAAATCAAAGACTCTCATTTCTTCACTATTCTAGGAGCTAACATTCACACAATTTTTCACAATGTAGGCCATCTAATCACAAATCTAAGAGTTTAAGTTATATGAACTCAAATCACACATCTATCTTTACTTTAGCTCCAATTCATATTTAATCAAGCTCTTTTTTACTAGAAGTCTTCACTTTTCTATGAGCTCAAATTTCATTTTTTTCCACAATAATTATCAAAGCTGATTTGTTCTTCCTCTCTCAAAAAAGTAAAAACAAAAAAATTCTGGATTTCATAAAGGTGGGACTTTCTTGACATTCTATGTAATAGAATAGATATATCAACAACACTTCACAACCTGAATTACTTTAATTAAATACACAAAAATATGCTGTGTAAGGCAATCCTAAATATGCCTAAAAAAATAATGTGTACACACACACACTCTGAACTTACATTACACAATCTGTCTACTTCCACTGATTGCATAATCCTGTTCTTCAGATGTTTTTCTATTCTTGATCACATATATTTCATATATATTTCACATGAATTACTCATAATTTTATGCATCTAATGATGTATACACTTTTTCCCCCATCACAGAAATATACAACCTAAGTTTTCAGTAAATGTCCAAACATTGCAGTCTAGTTGGCAATATATATAAATCAAACAGTATCACAAAAATGGTCCGCAATTTCACTGCACCTCCATGCGCTAAATATAGGTCCCAAACAATGCTTATGTAGCACTGATGAATTAAGTCAATTGGGTCAACATTTAAACCACATGCCAAAGGGAAACAATTCTAGTCAGACTCTTAAAATACTGGATTACTTCCCCTGCTATATCAGTCACGCCCATTAAATGCCATTTATTGAAACAGTTACAAATGGCAGCACAATTTATAATCAAATGCACCAATTTTCACCAAGATTTGCACAGTTTAGCAAACAGAATTTCATGAGCAGTTTTCCTTAAAACCCTTATAGTAAATATCACAAGGTGGGTGGGTTATCATCAAACACATGTTTCATGACTGCATCTGGAAGTTAGAGAAAAAACAAACCAAAAGTTACAACATGCAATAAGGCAAACAAAACAAAAACTGCAAGGCATATAAACCAGAGATCAATTCCTTATTAAAATTTTTGAGACTATGTTACTATTTTTCATAATAAAGGGCCGTATCGCTTCAAAAAGATTTTTTTTTGCCAGCTGAGGAGGCCCCTATTTATTTTTCTTGTCAATGGCGAGGGAAGGGTCCAGGATATTTTGAATCTTGCTTTCAGATCTTATATGTCCACAGGGAACTTACTAAAAATATACAAGACTTAGTTCCTCTATATCTCTAAAATACATTATCTTGTATTTCCGTCTGTAACCATGGTAATTCTTACAATTATATTTTCCATAAATAGATCTCCAGTTTATTTCCCAAAATAAATTAAGCAAACATTCACACTTGGCACATGCTTTTGAGATGCTAACATAATTATAAATACTACATAAATTTATACTTCTGTTGAAGTTATTATAACTATACAACTGAAAGGGATAATTTTCCTTGAATCATGTCGCAGTAAATCTAAAGTGCACAATTAAATTATTTATTCCTCTCTAATATTCTGTACATATAACTTCCCATATAACTATGTGCCAAGTTTTTAATTCATTATCTGTAAATGTGTTTATTTTTAAAAAAAAACAAACAACAACACAACAATAGTGAGTAAAACAAAATTATACTTGTATTGTCATTACTGAACAGTGAGTTAAGATGATGTAAGGAAAATCATGCAACAAATATAGGCAGGAATATAAGAAAATACTGTATAACCTACTCAATGTTTGTAAACATATAGACTTGAAAAATTTTTATTATTAAGATGTTACATGTGCCCATGCTCATTATCTTTGCAGACTCTTTCTTAAAGTAGTAAGAAAACTAAAAAATATTTATTTTTTAGTGAAATAAAGAAAGTATTAAAACATGCAAGAGGGAAGAACTGAAAAGATATATTCCTGCCTGAACCGAAGCTTGTAGGATATCTATTTAAATGAACAAGACTTTCGTTCTGAATAAAATCCTTTTTACTTCCCACCCCACCCTTTACCCCAATGAAATCCAAACATTCTGTAATCATATTATAAACAGATTTTCATTATAGTTTACAGATATCCTACAAGGCAGAATTACTTTAATGTTAAAGCAACTTTATGGAGAAATTAAAGGTGAAAATAATACGGTACACCAAAGGCTTTAAGGATTATTATCAAACATAAATATATTAACAAAAACCTTGATCCAGTCATGATTTCCCTTTGATGTAAGATCATGTATGATGTTTCTATGGAAACATATTTTTAAATTTTGATGCTGAAATGGACTGTTCCTGAACAAAAGTGACTAAAGTCCAGTACAAAATTTCAGAAAGGGGTATAAACTTACTCTGAGTCTGAGGACACACTACCTCTATGTGTGAGCACTTTGACCTTCATACGATCTCTTGGACTAAGATCTGTTGGGCTTAGATCTCTTGGACTATGTAGGGGGCTGTTATATTTTTGTACGGGACTTCGAGGGGCCTCCTGTGGGGCTCGCACCACCTGTGGGGAACCCATGGGTGTGTGAGAATTTCCAGAGCTACTCATGGATTCGTTCATGATACTGTTTGTCCGTCTAGGTGTGGCTATCTTAAATTCCCTGCCTAAATATATTTCATAAAGCAAACACATGTGAAAAAAAACATAAAAAATTAAATAAAATAATACAAAAGCTATATTGCTGAGTTTAAACGAGGCCATAGATAAGAAACATCATAACAATATTGAAGATCAGAATAGTGGTATATCTAATCTGTTTTATAGGCAGTGCATTAAATGACTTAAAAACACATTCTTTTCATCATTTCATACTTACTTAATGAAATGTTTCTTACAAAAAACAAAACGCATCTATTTACAATTCATTACAATATTCACTTTTATACGTAATATCTCTGTACAATATAATCATATACTTTAAAATATATATAAACTTATATGTACAAAATAAATTTGTTTCACAACAATAAATGACTGAAAATCAAATAAATATAGTACAGATTTAATAAATTGTCGATGGGAGTACTTTGTGACTAACTTGTAGTATAAAATCAATACAGAAATTCAAGTACAACAAAAATACATTACTTGTTAACAAGGAAATATTTACAGAAATATGTTTCAAAGTTGTCTCCCATTGCACTGGAAAGTATTCAAAGTCATTAAATAAAATCTTTGACAAAAAATGAAAATTGGGTGGGCACTATGAAGAAAATTAAACCCAAAATATAGAACAAAAATGGAAGCATACAATCCTTCATTTAACCATTTTGATTTTTGACAATCAACTCTAAAACAATGTTTAAGCCAGGAGCCAATTTTTGATGTCAAGACACCTGTGCAGGGTACCAGTCTGCTATGTAAAAAAAAGTCCATGCATTGTTTCACGTTTGACTACCTAATCTTATTTTTATTACACACTCTTATTGCCCACTTGTAAGCCAGGAGCCAATTTAAGATGTAAGAAACCTGTGCCGGGTACCAGTCTGCTATGTAAAAAAAAGTCTTTGCATTGTTTTACATCTGGAAACCTAATACACACTCATAATGCCCTATTGTTGCTGGAGAAAGTGAGAAAACATCCCAGGCCCGTATTTAGCACTACCTTTATATTCTGGTGTTTGTAAAGTGACATCTGGTTGAGTACTTGACAACGTAGGATGGTCAGATGTTCGATACTCGGAGTCACTACCGGTGTAACCAGACAACTGTGGATCACCTGGCCAGTGTCCCGGAGCATGTAAAGGTTTAGGTGAATACTTCGGTGATGGTGGTCCTGAAAACAAGATTTTTATTATGTATTTTCTTACATCCTCAATTCTTTCATTTAATGCGGTCAAGCTTGTGAGCAACCAACTACAAACAAATATTAAAGCATAAAGACCACCATTTGATATTCGTATTTAAACAATTTTATGGTAATTTTAACACAAGTGAGTCTGATAACTTACCAAGACTAGTCTTTCCAAATATAGGTTTCATTTTAGACCATTTTAACTGAAAAAATTAAACTACATTCATGTACATCACACTACAAAACTTTAAAAGAGGTAAAAAGAAGACTAATCAAGATATTGTGAAACCATGTTACAGAAAGTATTTGAGCCGCGTCATGACAAAACCAACAGAGTGCGTTTGCGACCAGCATGGATCCAGACCAGCCTGCGCATCCGCGCAGTCTGATCAGGGTCAATGCTGTTTGCTATCAGTTTCTCTACTTGTAATAGAGTTGGTAAGCGAACAGCATGGATCCTGATCAGACTGTGTGGATGCGCAGGCTGGTCTGGATCCATGCTGGTCGCAAACCCATTATGTTGGTTTAGTCGTGATGCGGCTCATTTCTTTACACTGTTAGACTTGTTATAAAGAAGATAATGTAATTATACCAGCATATATATGTTGGTCAAATGGATTATGATACTGATGTTGACTTGAAGGGGCCATCGGGGATGGCTGTTGTTGTTGTTGTTGCTGCTGTTGCTGCAGAAATTCTTCCTTCTTTTTCCTCATTTGCTCTTTGGCTTCTTCTATAAACAAACACAATTATTACTGTAAATTCCCTTGCAATTATCACTATAACTTCACTTAGTTAAAGAAACTATGGACAAATTTATAGTTTTCTAAAAATACAAATTTTTGAAATAATTAAATATCCTCTGAATGAGCTTATAAATACATAAGTTATGAATATCTAACTAAGGTTGTCTATATTTTCCAATGTTAGTAGCCATGACAATATGGTATCAGCCCTTAGATAGATAATTACATACAATGTTTATACTACCTAGGTTTCTGAACATTAAAAATATCAGACAGTACCCTATTATCATGTAAACCATCAAATCACACAGTACCCTATTATCATGTAAACCATCAAATCACACAGTACCCTATTATCATGTAAACCATCAAATCACACAGTACCCTATTATCATGTAAACCATCAAATCATAGATCTGTTTGCAGCTATATAAGTGGTTCATGTCAAAATAATTGAAAGAACATATAAATTGATTACACATCAAAGGTTTCACTGTGCACTATTTATAGAACACATCGGTCATACAATATCTGCTTCAACATTACTCATGCAATTTTTTTTCTTTTGAATATAAAGGGTCCTCAATACCATTTTGTTAAGATTTGATAAAAGTTTTGTTAATAGAGGGAATTTTACCATACATATATATTTATCTCAGTCACTGAATATGGGTGGATTGTCTTTAGTAGCCAAATTAATTGCTTGCCATGCATAATACCTTTCTGATAAGCATTTAGTTGACAAAGATTTGTTTTGTTTTTTTGCTCTTTGTACTAGAGATGCTTTTATATATGTTATCATATTAACAAATACAGATAATGTGACAAATTGTGATACAATATGACAAATTGTGCCCCCCACGTCCAAAAAAAAGAGAAATGTTAAGGTTATGACACAAGTATTACCTTAAAATTCCACAAATATCATGATTGTGACTTATGGATTTCTAATATATGTATGATATAAATGTATAATGCATTCATAAAAACAAGTGATGTAAACAATGGTAAACACATTCACAACAATAAAAGTGATGTTACATGAAAATAATGACATTAATACCAATAATCCAGTTTAATAAAAAACAAACAAAAACAAGATTGCATTTGAGAAAAATGCTATGCCACCGCATTAATACAACACTAAATAGTAGTGTAGGAACAGATTTTTTTTGTTTCTATATACAATTTTGAAGATTGTCATAATGCATAGATCCCTGACCTATCTAATTCTTATTATCAGATTAGTGGTTAAATCTGTTGTTAACTCAATAAAAGATCAGAGTAGGAATATATCAATGCACTTGAGTCTAGTGTATTTGATGGTCATATTTCACACAGCCTAAATTGCATGACTACATCAAAGGACAACACAGTAAGACACTTTGTCAAAATCTAGGTCAGCTGAAATCAAAGTTCACTTAACATCTTAATCTGTACACATGGTTCAAATTTTATAGCTGTACATAAAAGGACAAGAAAGTAGGTCACATCATCAAAAATCTAGGTCACCTGATATCAAAGTTCAATTTACAACTAAAACTGTGCACATGGTCAAAATTTCATTGCTGTACATCAAAGGACAAGAAAGTAGGTCACTGTCCCCTTGGGCAAGGCAAAATTTTGGACCCAAGGGTTTAATTCAAAACAATCTTGATACAGGTCCACCAAACAACATTTCAAGTCAAATATCTAAGCTGTAGCTTTCTCCCATTCAGAAAAGATTTGTTTTATTTTCTGTTTTTACTATTGAACATAATGAGAATCACTGCCCCTGGGCAGGGCCAATTTTAACACTAGGGCATAATTAAAACAACTTTAGTAGAGAACCCATAGATGATATTATATAGCAAACATCAAAGCTCTATGCCTTGTACCTTCAGACAAAAAATTTTTTTTATTTTTTTTAATATATGTACATAGTGAAAATCAATGACTCCTGGAGGTGGGGCCAATTTTGCCCCAGGGCTATAATGTGTACAATCTTGCTAGAGGTTCACTACATAATGTTTCATGCAAAATATCTTAACTCTAGCCTTTGTAAATTTAGAGAAGATGATTTTTTAAGTTTTTACTATATACATATAAGGACCTATGGCCCACAGGGCGGGGCTAATTTTGACACAAGAGGCAAAATTTGAACAGCTCTGGTAGAGTACCTATAGATGATATCATTTAACAAATATTCAAGCTCTAAGCCTTGTACCTTCAGACATAAGATTTTTTTGATTTTCTACTATACATGTATGTATATATTGAAAATCAATGACCCCAGGGCAGGGGCAATTTTGATCCCAGGGCTATAATTTGAACAATCTTGATTGAAGTTCACTTCACAATGTTTCATGCAAAATATCTAACCTCTAGCATTTGTCAATTGCTAGAAGAAATTTTTTACTATTAAGTTTTTACTATATACATATAAGGAAAACCAATGACCCCCGGGGCAGGGCCGATTTTGACCCCAGGGCTATAATTTGAACAATCTGAATAGAGGTCTACCAGACAATGCCTTATGCAAAATATCTAAGCTCTAGGCCTTTTGGGTCTTTACAAGAAGATAAAAAGTTTTACTATATGTACATATAGTGAAAAACAATGACCCCCGGGGCGGGGCCGATTTTGACCCCAGGGCTATAATTTGAACAATCTTGGTAATGGTCTATCAGACAATGCCTTATGCAAAATATCTAAGCTTTAGGCCTTTTGGGTCTTTACAAGAAGTTATTTTAAGTTTTTACTATATGTACATATAGTAAAAATCAATGACCCCGGGGCGGGGCTTGATTTTGACCACAGGGTTATAATTTGAACAATCTTGGTAGAGGTCTACCAGACAATGCCTTATGCAAAATATCTAAGCTCTAGGCCTTTTGGGTCTTTACAAGAAGATTTTTTTAATTTATTCTTATAATTCCTTTTGGTTGCCATGGCAACCAGATTTCTGCATGGAATGAAATTCTTTGAACAACTTTGGAAGCCCTTCACCCAAGGATCAATCCTGCCAAGTTTGGTTGAAATTGGACAAGTGGTTTTTTACAAGAAGATTTTTTAAGTTCACTATATAATCTATATAACACACACACACACAAACAAACACACACACAGGTGAATCGCTATATGCCACCGCATCGCAGATGCTGCGGTGGCATAAAAAGGTGAATAAAACCAATGGCAATAAAATAAAATATAAAATTTCAACTCCCAATTTTTCTGAAGAATTTCAAAAACAAGAGCATCTATCATAATAATGTTTAAAACGCAGCACAGAGACAGATAGGTATCACTTACATTTATATATTAATTTATTTTTTTTCTGTCGATGTTGTTTTAGTTACTTGTCAAGATAACTTTCCAGCTGAAATTGGTGGAGAAAAATTCCCACTTGTCAGATAAAAGAATATTGATGCATTAATACATTAAAATAAAAGTTTTTCACTTAAATCATCCTGCCTCCCATAGAAAATACTGCCAAAATAATATATTTAATCATTTTATTGCCATTTTCTCCCATATAATACAAGTATAAAACAACTTTGAAATCAAATCAAACAGTTTAAACATAACCATTCCCTATTACCTTTTGGAATTAACTTGTTCATATGAAAGAGTAATTCTTGGCAATCTAAATGAAAATGGGCAAAAAACAAAAACACTTTAAGCTAAATACAAAATTAAATAAGCTGCTGAAAAAAACAAAACAAGAAAAGCTGGCAATATAAATGAAAGTGAAAAATAAGCTGTGAAATGGTAGCCAACCATCTTAATATGTTGGTGTCGAATAAACATGGTAAAAAACACGATACTCAAGATATTTTGATCAATACATGTATTTCTTATGAATGAATGGATGTAGTCAAGACAGAAAGTGGAAGCCACTGTAAACATAACCTACTATGATTTCAAAAACACTTTGGCCAAAAAGAAACTTGCATGATTACCTACTTACATGTTTTTAGCTGAAGATAAAATCAGTTGGCCAAAATTTTGTGAAAACTTTCGAGTTTGTGGTAACCAGGCTATTAAGGGAGTTGGAAATCTAAAGCATACTGTATTGAAATGTTTTGATGTACACTACCTAAATGAATGGCACTGTTAACTTAACAAAGGCACTGCTATTTTCTAAAAGGTCAAGCTAAAGGAATGTTTACAAGTGTAAAATGATAAAATGAAGGATTATTCCAGAAAGGTTTTAGCTTTGATGTCTAAGGTAAAGCTAAGTTTGTGCAAATAATGATTACCATAGCAAAACTAAGCAAAGAATAAGGATGAAATTAAATATAAAGAATCTACAATAGAAAGAAAAAGAAAACATTTTTTAGCTGAAGTTCTTACCTATTTTCTTATTTTTGGGGATCTGACTTTCCCAGTCCATCTGTACGTCTATATCATCTTCTTCATCAGAGGAGTGACTTGACGCGAGATCAAGACTAACTCGCTCCGACATCTCACTGTCCGAATCGGAATCATTGTTCTCCCTCTTAGGATGTATCTGCATAGAATCTGGGTCTGAAAAGATCGTTCCGAAAAAGAAATATAGAATTTGAAAACAGAGTTTCATTAAAGACTTTTTGTCTCCCCCCCCCATACAGTAGGTTTTAATTTACATTTTAACACTGATTTACTCATCTTAGGTAAAAACAAAACAAAACTTTTAACATCTGAGTCATGGATTGGAGAATAAAAATAATTTACTTTCCATTATAACAATTTTCAGTGATGAAAATATACCATTTTTGTACAATTTATAAAATGGTGTTAGTGACCAATTATGTGAAAGTGTAGTCATAATTTAGTTACAAGTACATTTTATATTTAAAGCTTTTCTATGTCACCAAAAGTAAAAGACCATCAGGGTTTTCAGGGTCATATTTTAGTTACAAGTACATTTTGTATTTAAAGCTTTTCTATGTCACCAAAAGTAAAATACCATCAGGGTTTTCAGGGTCATAATTTAGTTACAAGTACATTTTATATTTAAAGCTTTTCTATGTCACCAAAAGTAAAAGACCATCAGGGTTTTCAGGGCCATATTTTAGTTACAAGTACATTTTGTATTTAAAGCTTTTCTATGTCACCAAAAGTAAAATACCATCAGGGTTTTCAGGGTCATATTTTAGTTACAAGTACATTTTGTATTTAAAGCTTTTCTATGTCACCAAAAGTAAAATACCATCAGGGTTTTCAGGGTCATATCCATAAGGTGGCGGAAGACCATCTGTACGTGGGTATTTTACTGGCGGCATATTTCCCGATGTAGATGTACTCGTGCTGCGTAGATAATCCTCTCCCTTGTATAGACCACCGCTACTCTTGCTGGTAGATCTACTTGTTGTTGACGTTGTTGATATCCCGACATTGATTCTCGCTAGTCCTCCGTCACACGAGTCATTTCTGTACGCCAATGCTGACCTCTGTAATGTTATCAATTATGATATCTTTATAGTGACATTACTAATATACTATCTCTTGTCTTATGTATGACATGACTATAATACAAAATACTCTAGTATCTGAGGGGAATTCTGTAGGCATGAAAGGTCCCCTTATTAATCATGCACAATCTGTTACAGGAATATCTGAATTATAACCAGTAATAGATTTATACAACTGTATAAGGAAACTTGGTTGTGGACTTAGTAGTTCTCAAAATCAAGATTCCCGAGTAGAGAGAGATGTAAACAATTCAGCCACATTAAACAGTCAGGAAAGTCATATAGGATTCTGTACTCCTGGCTGTTAAATTCTGGCTTTATAATGGACAGCAACAAATTCAAAACAGTGCAAATACATTATACAAATTTTTGAATTTTTTACACCCACTTCTTTATATCATGGTGTTAAGTCATTGAGAAAAGGTTAAAATTAGTAACATGTAATTTCTATAGAACTTACACTATAAAGGGAGCTCCTAGTTCCACCAATATTATCATCAAGGTCAAGTTTCTGTCCTCGTAATCTATACCACAACTTCTTCAACTCATGTCTCACCTAATAGAATAAAATTCTATTTGTTATTTGTCAATATACAAAATCATTAAATGTAATATAACTCAAATTACATCAACAAAACACATAAGGAAATACATCTAATAGAAGACCAGTCACTGAAATTGATTACAATTTGATTTTATTTTTTTAAATTTCCCTAAAATAATGATAAACAGAAGGAAGGCTGTATAAAATAACCTTGGCAACAGTTACCTTAGAGTTGACGATGATGTACATGATAAAGATGAACACTCCGAGGGCAAGACACAGTAAGGAGAAGATGACATGTAGAACCTGATAGTTGTAATTCACAGACAAGAGTCCGGATACCCACGTTATACCCCATATTAGTAATATTATAATGTTGGCAAACAATCCAATCCTGTAATATATAAATATATATATCTTTTTTTATTAATAATCATAAAATATTAATGAATATATTATCAATATTATCAATTATTAAATACTGAAATTTTCTTTAATTTGAAGAACGATGATTTTACTATGTTAACTTGACAATATCTAATAAAATCTCAAAATTTTGATTGGTTTTTACATAGGCACAAAAATACATATATTTATTTATAATACTGCACCTATGTCAAGTTTCTTTGGATAATGGCCATGTTTATATCATTCATTAATACAGCTGCTGTCAATCTATGATTTATTATTTATTTTATTGCAAAAAAAAGAGAAATAGAGGCGGTGTGGCCAAGTGGTTAACATTTAGGAGAAGTAATCTAAGGATTGCTGGCCCCAGTCAGAGGCAAGAGATTGTTTCCATGAGCAAGAAACTTTACATTTATTGCTTAGTACTGGTTGGTTCCAGGAAAGGATTTGAGAGTGTTTCAATAAGCTTATAGCTTCCAACACACAATCAAACTAAAACAAATCTATTTATTAAACTAAATAAAGAAAAATGTGCTATATTATAATTTAGTAACAGACCTAAGTCAGGTTATATGACCCTGTTTCCATGGTTGTTTGTTATGTAACACTTGCCCTGGTGCTTAGGCAATATTAGTTTATAACCATTTATACTGGCCATTTAACCTGTCTAAAATCTTTTTAAAGTTATATTCCTTAGTTTCAAGTTTGGATAAAACAAGTAAGACAATGTACAAAATTAGCCAAGCCATGACAAAACCAACATAGTGCGTTTGCGACCAGCATGGATCCAGACCAGCCTGCGCATCCGCACAGTCTGATCAGGATCCATGCTGTTCGCTATCAGTTTCTCTACTTGTTATAGGGTTTGTAAGCGAACAGCATGGATCCTGATCAGACTGGGCAGATGTGCAGGCTGGTCTGGATCCATGCTGGTCGCAAACGCACTTTGTTGGTTTTGTCGTGACACGGCTCAAATGAATTTACCTAAGAGGTGCAGTATCGGACACACCAATCTTCTCCATACAAGATGCCTTCATGGCCAACACCAGTACAAATATATTTATAATCACAGACACTGATATAGGTCCAGCAAAACTCCATATAAACTTGTCAGACATCATTAACCAGCAACTAAAATAACAAATAAATAATTTTAATCATCAATCTAATTGCAATATTTCTTTTTTATTTACATGCATGACTTTACTTTTAATTAATATATATTTAATTACCTTTATGTTTAATCATTATATTGAGATACTGGTCATTTCTCTATATTTCAAGAAAACTAAATTCTTTAAAACCTAATTTCAATTATTTAAAAATTATGCCCCAAAATTTATAATACATGCATTTGGATACATTTTCACAATTGGTTTGATTTTGGTTCAATTATATTTGCAATTTAAGTTTAGAAATGTATGTATTTAGTTACATGGCATGAAACTTACAAGTTTTTATTGCCGTATCCCTCGGTGTTTAGGCCAACAGCTAGACTGACAACGATACCTGGTATCACATAGGCAATAAGGTAATAAAACTTCATTGAACCAACATCTATGTTTCTAATCTCAGTCAACATTCTATACATGTGTAAAACATCCACAAATAACCAGGAAAACCCAGTCATGAAGAAATAGTGCAACGCTATGGCAACCAAACGGCATTTGAACTGAAAAAAATATCAAAGTCTAGTAAAAAAAAACATTTAAATAATCATAATCTTATCAGAAAGTAGATGATAGTATGAATATTCCATTATTCAGATTTAAACTGCTTTTTTTCTAGTTCAGTGTCACATTAAAACAATAATGGTGAGATGGCCATTTCTAGCTGTACAGGTTAAGCACTGTGTTTTTATTGCATATAAAGGAAAAGAACACACAGCATAAGTTATTTCATTTATAATCACAATTCCCAACAACTTGTTATATAGTCAACTCCTTTTACAAATCCATACAAATTAGACAAATTCAACTCATAACCTGCCCTACTTGAAAGTGGTTTGCCTTTGCCACCAGTATAGAACCAGGCCAGCCTGAATATCTGTGCAGTCTAGCCTGCAGGTTCCATACTTCTGGTTGCTCAATTTTAGAATTTTCATATTAACATCCCTTAAACTGTTGAATGGACTGTTCAAAATTTAAAGTAGGGCAAATCCCATAACACTCATTTTGGAGGTTGTATAAAAGTAAACATAGTATTTTTATATTGACATCCCTTTAACTGTTGAATGGGCTGTTCCAAATTCAAAGCAGGGCAAATCCATTGCACAAATTTAGGAGGTTAGGGGTTAAACTAAATATAGAAGTTAACAATTGGGTAAATTATATATTTACCTGATCCTCAGTTTTGTTGATGCCCAGGATGAAAGATAACAATGTTATAAAGATAACAAATATCAGGTTAATGTGTATACTGTTGGTGTTACACTGGACTCTCTTCAGACAAAACAACAGGAAAAAACATGCCACCAAACATCCCATACTAATAACCAGTCCGATATAGGTCACTATCTCTACAGCTATTGGCTCCGCCGGTACATACTGGAAAATATAACAGCGAACCAGTATAGAAATATAGTAAAAACACTTATTCTTGAAAATTAAAAATGCTGGATCCCAGTATGTACATGTATTTCTTTTCAAATGTAGGACACAAAATTTACATTACTGCTCCAATGTTGTTGCTTTTTTTTATAAAACACCTGCATGTTATTGATTTCTTTGCAAATATCCCTATAAACTTATGCTACTCACAATGGAAAAATATGTTAATAAAAGATAAATTCTTCAGATTTACATTTAAAATAAGGAAAAAGAGGTATTGAGACATTAACTTGTACTGACTGAAAAAGCACCATATATATGTAAGCATAACTATCGTACAAAACCTAACACAAACCTCTTGGTCAGAAATATCCATAAGGACAGCAAAGCTGGTCATGTGACTACAGGAACATTTAACATACATATGTGTATCTAGTGTGTATCTGTCAGTCTGTACACATCCCTTTGTTGACCATCTACCAGCCCTGTATAAAATACAGTTTTACCAATAAAATTTATCTTTGTACTAGCTTTTAACATATGATAAATTAATATATAAAAATAATTATATAAACATAGAATCTAGGATAGAAAAAATCAACAACACATGAATATAAACAATTGTTAATGTCAACATTTGGGCTTATCAGGTTAAATATTGATATTTTTTTATATATACTTGACCAGTAATTAAAGATTACACTGTATCAATCAAATTTTATACCAAATTTGAATCTCAAGCCCCAAGAGGGAAGCCAGCGGATAATGTTGATAATGATGGAATTTAACCATTAGCCTGTTGGGGGGCAACAGATTCTAGTACTTGGACCAGTGCAGACCAAGATCAGCCAGCATATTTTGCTATTCAGTCAGTTTGAACATATTATGAATTTTTCCCTAACCGTTAATCATTTTGTTCAGATTGAAAGATGGCCAAGTCTATGTGCCAGCTTATCTGGTGGTTTTTGTAGCTTACCCTCCAGTTCACAGCACTAAGCTACTTTGAATTCACCAGATCACAATTCAGCCACTGCATCTGATCTTGCATCTGGTCACATGGATAGAAAAAATCAAGCTTAAGCAAGATTTTTAAAACCTCATTTTTACAAGCCATTAAATATACATACCCTGAGGAGTCATACTGCCATGAAACACATTGTGGACTAGTCCGGTTCCCAGTCTGTAGTTGTTTAAATGTGATAACTACTGGGTCATCGAGGGAACCATTCACTATCTTCCCATTATCTTTCACTAATATTGTAAACACTGGACTGTTCACAGACATCGGACGACCTGACAAAACTCTGCAATTATCAGAATAAATAAACAGTAATGTAAATCTAAAACAGCTTCTTAAATTTCCAAAATGTACAGTCAACAAAAATTGTCAAAGTTTGAAAAAAAAACCTCTCAATTCTTTACATAAATTCTTTACAAAGAAGCTACAAATTAAATGCTTCACATAGAAAAGTTAAATTTTTTCATTAAAACCATATCCTAGAAAAAAATACAAAAGAAAATTGAACTTTTATGAAATACTGACCTGACATTATCCGAGTAGAGCTTTGGTAGTAAGTCGCCCAGTTGTTTATACATTATATAACCGACATATGCCTTTGGCGTCGTCAGCAGATCAGGTCCAAGGTAATCTAAAATATATACAACATTGGAACCACTCATTTCTTAGAAAGAAGGATGTAAAAATATATACATTATTAAGAATTGATTCAGATGAGGTAGCAATTACTACATCAATTAGTTTTCACACTATTAATTAACTACATGTATTTTGTTGTTTGCATTGACAAATGTGGCCATACCATGTGACTTTTCGGTTACAAGTATTTTTTTATTAATAACTTTGCTGTTACTCAACCGATTTTGATTAGATAAGGTGCAGAATATCGTAATTATATCAGCTACCAATGGTAAATAAAAATTTTGAAAACCCCTGAATGGTTTTTGAGAACCATCAATAATCTACTGTTCAACCTTGATGTAAATTGGAAATATATTACATAAAAGCTTCTGGGTTCTTTTCTCTTCATGAAAGATATTTAAGTTTTTAAGTTACATTGACTGTACTATATGGTGGTCAGGTTATACCAAAGGCAAAAAATACATTGTAAAGCACTACATACTGTATAAGTGGTTAAGTTAGCGACAGGGAAATATTTACAAATTTTGCTAACCAATGACAATAGCTAAAATTTTCACTAGCGTAAATAAAAACAAACCTGTCATTAAATTCGATCCTTACAAGATTCGCTAATATTTCCTCACATGCAATGTCTGAAACTTTAAATTCGCTAACTTTTCAACATGCAGAAATATCCACTTATATGTACATGTATATCCAGAAAAACTAATAATGCTGAAGAGTCTGTAACATTAATACAAAATGACTGAATTTAGATACATTACCTTTAAGTGGAGGTTCAGAGATAGTAGATTTTGGTAGATAGATATTTGTGTCCTCGTCAAACATACTTGTCTTCACTATATTATTAAACTTTGGTATACTGCGACCAGAGAAATTACTTTTGTTGATAAAGTCCACACTTAACACTGTAAAATAATGAAAATCATAGTGTTTATACTTCAAGCGCCTTTTTGGTTATTGGCATTAATTGGTGTCTCAGTGTTAATTATCGGATGTTTTGCTGAAACATGGCAGAGCCTCGTTACTGCAGTAAATAGTTACCCTCGAGCTAAATATTCCGATCTTAAACTGCCTCCAGTGTGAAATTCTTATAATTTATCATATAATACATAAAGATACAAACAAAACATTTAACTTCTTTATCAAGTGATATTACCCCCTTGTGAAAATCATTTTTAAGTAATGTAACATATTTTTCATTTAAGAACAAAAATTGGAACAAAATAAACTAAAATTTTATTAAAAATTAAGAAAACTGATAAAAAATTTAACAGGATATATTCTGCAATAATACCTATATTATCTGTGACAACGTTATATGGCCGTGATGATTCTGTTGTAGTCAACTCAAGGGCAGATAATAACGTAGAAAGATACGTCTCAAGTTTGGAAAGTAACTGCGCTGCTCCAACTCCTTGATGATTCAACCTTGACCACTCACCAGCATTCTTAATTTGTAAAATGTCACTGAGTACAGTCAAAACATTCTGAAATATAAAATATATAAAAAATCCTAAAATAATAGATTATGAAAAAAAATATACTAAAAGATTATGATATTAATATCATATATCATTATAGTTTGTTTAAGAAATAATATATCCCAAACTGTGATTTTATTGCTCAATAACATCACTGTTTGGAGTTCGGATGCGGGGAATTATATCACGAGGGCGTAGCCCGAGTGATATAATGATGCGCATCCGAACGACAAACAGTGATGTTATCAAGCAATAAAATCACCGATTTGGATATATTATTTCGATTCTAACAAGACATCAACAAATAAATGCTGCCCGTACATGATAATTAGCTAAATTGCGCCTGATTTGTGTCCGTACTTATTGTCACCGCGTCACATTTTTAGTGGTTACGTCACGTGTATAATGATTAAGTCACATGTCTAAATATAGAACGTCAAACAGTGATTTTATAGCATAATAACACACACTTTCGGTTCTTCTATGTTCAATAGGGAAAAATGCGGGTTGTGTTAGAATTTGGGTTTTACGTCACATCAACACAGTATAGGTCATATTGCGACGTTCCAGCTTTACTGGTGGAGAAAGACCTTATTTCAGGCACAAACGGGCACCTTAGTAGAACTATCGACGTTCCGTTAGCTAGCTGGATAGCTTCCTCACATGAAAGAATCCAAAGTCCTTGTCGGGATTCGAACCCACAGCGGTGAGGGGCAAGTGGTTTGAAGTCAACGACCTTAACCACTCAGCCACGGACGCCCCTTAGAATTATATCATCCTCTTTTTCAGTTAGGTCTTAAGTCACATCAACTCTTTAAGGTCAAATGTCAACTTTTAACCTTTACTAGAAGGAAGAATTCTGGAAGTGCCTTAAACCTTAAAGAAAATCATAAATTGTATTTATTAATGGCAGTACATAAAATCAAGATTAGTCTGCTGAACTAAATTCAACAATATCTTTTTTACAACATTTTTTTTTTTCAAATAAATTATAAGATGAGCATGTTAGCAAGAAATCAAAGCCAATGCATCTAACATTCCACTAGTTCTATATTACATTACACTAGAACTATTGTTTACAGACATGCAACAATCTACAAAGTATCAATATGTTACAAGGAGTGGTTCAACTGAGGAAATCGACCATTTAATTATAAAAATCTAACGTTGTATCACAGAATGAAAATTAAATTTCAGGAAAACATGGACATTGTGCATGTCTTGCATGATGTAGAAAATGCAATAAATTTGCAATAAAGAGCAATGAAATGTCAAGTTAGAATGAACTAATTTTCATGAAGAGAATAAAATACAAAAAGTAATGGTGTAGCTTTCATTCCTGTAGATTTTCAGTGAAAATTCCATGACAAGTTGAGTCCTGTAACTAAAAGGTTGAGAGAAGATACATGAAAAACCTTAATATACAGAATTTGAGTTTGATTATGTAGAAGGAAGCTAGAAGCTTATAGACACACTTTCGAATCTGTGCCTGGAACCAACCAGTACTGGGCAATGAGTGTAAAGTTTCTTGCTCAAGGAAACAACCCCTTACCCCCGACAGGGTTTGAACCCATTTGGTTAGTGATCATTACATTACTAGTCTGATGAATTATCCATCAGGCTATACTGCCACTAACCTTAAATTTTGTACAAACACTAGTAACTAATATACTATGATAGATGATTTTTTTATATGTTTGAAATATATAAGAATTTTTTTTGGGGGTAACACTGTTTGACCACAAATTCAGTGAAAATGAGTTATTTTTAAATCCTCTAGTGAGTCCAATGAACATCACTTCAAGGTGTTCAGGTGAGGTAATCAAAATTCCTTGCAAGTGTTTCATGTGTGCTCATTAAAGTACCAATAAATAATACTATGTGGAAAACATATGCATCATCGCACTTTCCCTTAAACGTATAAAATGAGTGACACTCTTTATAAGAAAGTTGCCATGGGTAACAGGTGATAGTAACTGTATCACTCCTTCTAACAATAATGTACTAAGGAGACAAGTATAATAAACAAACTTACAGATAGGTAGTGGCTGTCCTGTTCACTGGTCAGATACAGTCCAGACTGCTGGTTCTCATATTCGAGGATTTTATTCATTATTCTGACGGTTATATTGATGTCATTGCCGTACATGGTCTCCATTTGTGACGTAGTGTCGGCTAACGATGCCAGCAACGTCTTCGCAACAAATGTGTTGATCTTAAGACTGCCAGATTCAATCTTCTCTATCTATAAACAGAGAAAATAAATTATCAAATTATTACTGTTTTTTGTTTGTTTGTTTTTTTGGTAGTAATAATTAAGCACAGTGACACTGTTAATGTCATATAGAGACTTTCTGGCTTTACTCATAAGGAAAGATCTTAGGTCACATAGGTGTTTCTCGGTACATTAATTTTTGCACAACAGGACACCTGAGTTGAACCCTTGACCTTCAATATGCTAGCTGATTAGACTCTTTTTTATAAAGTTCATGGCCACCACAATATTTCTGATTCATTAATGTCTTTCATTTTGTTTACTTTGAATATAAATTTGATTAAAAAAGAAACAATTACTGTTATTAGCTCAACACAGAACATTTCAAATTTCTTTCCATCAAATCAAATTACTTGAAATAACACAATCAAATCTGAAGTAATTTTTTTGTCAATCAACTAGAAAAACATTATAAAGAATTCTAACATTTTTACATTTAATTAACTAGGCTTCTGATTAGGAAGAAAATATAAATGCAATTGTATTGCAAGTAATCAGTTCCTTGTAATTCATTATGGTAATGTATAACAGATTGTCTCATTTCCAAAATAAATCTGTTTTAAGAAAATCAAGTTGATTTCATTATCTTGTTGAATTTTAGGTCACACTGTAAGGGTCATAATTATAATGACTTTGCAGCATATTTAAGGCTCAAGTGAGCACAAGAGAAAAACCATAAATGTTTTGTAAGTTTCCTGGGGAAAACCTCCTCTCAAAGAATCTAAGCTTCTTACAAGATTCAAACCTACAGTAGTGACGAGTAAGAGATTTGAACCCAGCCTCCTTAACAACTGATCACTGAGGACCTCTTATCTCGTTTGTATGCTAAACCTAGCTTGACATAATTCAATAGATTTCTACATAAAATCTGTTATAAAGGTATATGAGATGACTGGCTTACAAAATTTCATGATCTTACCTGAACTAAATGGTCACTGAAGAGTTTACTGGTACAGTTAAAGAAGTCTGGTTTCTGCCACAGACCGTTGGCGCTACAATTACGGGTGGCACTTCCGAACGCATCATCGGGACATTGCTGTGTGATCATGACATTGGCAATCTCAGTATCCCACCACATACCATGTGAGTAAATCCTTGGACATGCTGCGTAGTCAACTGAAACAAACAGATACTCTAATGATAGAAATGTATCCACAAAATTATGATGATTTATAACGCTTTACTATTGTCATAAAATCTGAAAAATGTAATGAACCATTCGGATAGCTTTTATCACAAGTTTCATGAATCTTTTGGGGAATCAAATTTATAGAATAGGGAAAAATGTAAAAAAGTTGTCTAGCCATAACAACTTATCAACAGAGCTTACTTATCTCCTTAAACCAGCAATTTTTTGTTCAGTAAAACATTATTTATATAACTATGTACCTCTACATCCATATTTCTTTGTTTCCTCATCTTGACGAATCTCAGCGTACTTGCTCGGACACTGGTTACATCTACGACCAGTAACGCCCTCTATACACGGACACTGACCGGTCACTGGGTCACACTGGTAACCCTTGGATCCATGACCATAGCATTTACATGGCAGACAAACGTAACTCCCTTGTGGCTTGTAATAATTATCCTGTAAAACATAAATTGCACTCATTCCATAACGGTAATAAATAAATAAACAAGAGCTGTCGGTAGGACAGCATGCTCGACTATTCTAAGTGTTTGATAGTAAAAGAGCCTTGATAATGTTAAATTTTTTAAGATCACAAAAGGGCTAATTTTTTTTATAAATTCATGTTATAGGCCTTAGAGAGAGTTTCAAGTAAATATCTGTGAAGACCTTTAACCAAAATTTCTAAGTTTCAAAGGGGCAAATAATTCTGCAAATATTGCAGGCAGAGTTATGCAATTTTGCAACTGATGTACATTGTTTCTATCAAAAAGTATTTCAAATTTCAATTGAATATCTCAAGCAATAATTGAGATATTTGACTTTACAAAAAAACTTTAACCAAAATTTCTAAGTTCCAAAGGGGCATAATTCTGTCAATATTGTAGGCAGAGTTATCAAACTTGTCAATCTGATGTACCTTGTTACTATAAATAAGTATTGTAAGTTTCAATTGAATATCTCAAGCAATAATTGAGATATTTGACTTTACAAAAAACTTTAACCAAAATTTCTAAGTTAAAAAGGGGCATAATTCTGTCAATATTGTAGGCAGAGTTATCCAACTTCTCAATCTGATGTACCTTGTTACTATGAATAAGTATTGTAAGTTTCAATTGAATAGACTCAAGCAATAATTGAGATATCAGACTTTACAAAAAACTTTAACCAAAATTTCTAAGTTAAAAAGGGGCATAATTCTGTCAATATTGTAGGCAGAGTTATCCAACTTCTCAATCTGATGTACCTTGTTACTATGAATAAGTATTGTAAGTTTCAATTGAATAGACTCAAGCAATAATTGAGATATCAGACTTTACAAAAAACTTTAACCAAAATTTCTAAGTTAAAAAGGGGCATAATTGTGTCAATATTGTAGGCAGAGTTATCCAACTTGTCAATCTGATGTACTTTGTTACTATAAATAAGTATTGTAAGTTTCAATTGAATATCTCAAGAAATGATTGAGATATTTGACTTTACAAAAAACTTTAACCAACGCAGACGCGGACGCTGACGCGGACGCCAACGCCGACGCCGGGGCGACTACAATAGCTCTCATATTCTTCGAATAGTCGAGCTAATAAATAAGCCTGGCAATAAATTCAAAGATAAAGAGATTATCTGGCACAATAATATTGTAATTCAATATATGCTGTAGAGGGCTCAACATTTACTGGCTTATGATAGTCATAATCATGAAAACCAAACATTTTAATTTTATTTTAAACTTAAAACTAAGCCTGATTTATATGGCATTCCATTCTCCATGTACATGTACTTGTAAACAAAAATTGGCTTTTGAAATTCCATAATTTTTTAAACCTTGAAAACATGCATCAAATAAACAGGAAAATACTAGATCAGATGTAGTATATAGTAAAACATTAAACAATACAACAATATTTCATGATAATCATAATAAAGACAAATAATCTAACTCACCCTACAAGAGCACTTTCCAGTAGTCTTGTCACAGCTGGGATTGAACCCATTCTGACTGGTACAATTTTCCGGGCACGGCCCGCACACTGGATTTCCCCACCAGTTCTGTGGACATGAACGGGGAGATGTAATCTGACAGTATTTACCAGACTGTAGCTGACCACACTCGCACTCATAGCTACCACCGTATGGATGTCTACAGTTAGCCTCGTTCTGACATGGGTTGTAATTTGTGCAGATGTTGTCACAGTTTGGTCCTAGAGTGCCTGCAAATAGACGATAATCATAAATTTTATTCGAATTTCTTGAAATTTTAGGTTTTAATATTTCATTTATCTCACATGTGTTCAAATTGGCAAGTAAACAAATAAACACTTATAATCTTACAAAAGAATCCCTGTTTAAAACTAGTATTTCTCACAAACTTACAAATATCACTTTATTCTTACCATTTGGACATTTGCAAGTATATCCCTCCCATTCATTGACACATGTTGCACGTGCGGTACATGGATTACTTTTACAAGCATCACCTGAAGCACATCCCTTCTGGGCATTAGAGATTATAGGTCGTTGTAACACCGAATTCTCCTTGTTACCAACATTCATGTCCTTTAAAATAAGAAAATAGAACATTTATTAACACTGATTCATAATATCCAACAAACAATGCATTTTTTTAGGCATTATTTCAGGCAGTAGTGGACCCCCAAGTAGAAATACCAACCATGTTTAAACTAGCAAAAAATTGATTTTAAAATCTCTGTAACTGCTGATATACCAGTAAAACACAAGCCAGACATTCCTGAGTGGAAAACTGTTAATCACATGTGTGTGTGCTATACATTTACTTATTGAAACCCCCTGAAACCCCCAAAACAAGCCACTTGTTCAAGAAAGTGTAAACTTTTCCATTTTTCTAGGGATCTCTCTCTGGGAGGTAGTCACTTGCTCTGTAATGAGCACAAATTGCAGCATTAAGTATTTCTAGTTGTAGAAGGGGAACCAACTTTCTAACCCTGGATTCATTGTCAGGCAGTGTTACCAATGCTTTCCATTTTCATTTCTCTATTATGACAGAAACATGCTATGAAGCCTTACCTTTACACATCCAATGAAATGGTTTTCAGCCTCAGCAACTCCGACCTTCAGGGCACCTACATACACACTGATAACACTCTTCTGCTCTAGAGTACTCTGAATCTTATGTAAAATCTAAACAAAACAAAATCAAATAATTGAGAATTTTACAACATTTTGTTATTTTCTACTATATAAAAAACTATTGAATTATATAGGGAGACAGATGTGAAGGCTACCCTGGCTTACTGCTTGTAGCTAAATTAGAGAAAAACAGAATATCTAAAGAACACTCAAAAATGACAAAATTGAAAATGTTGCCGACTTGGTTCGTCAGAGCCTGTTCATGAACAGTGCTAAAAATGTGAATGCTACCGTTTTCCCCCAAGAGCATGGACTTAATCAGAATTCAACACATGAACACGAAAATTGTTAAAATTTTGAAAAAAGAAATATCATCAAATGTGTTCATACAGCACTTAATAACATGTCATTACAGCCACTTTCCGATATATTTACACAGGTAAAAAGTTAAAAAAAAACAACAAATTACCAATATTATCTACATGACTTGTACAATTCTGAAAACTTATTTTATTTTTACCTGTCTCTGTCCATAATCTAGTATCATAATGAAGTCTCCATTGTCTGGCCAGCGGACCTCAAAATAATGCCAGTTTCCGTCATTTACCATTATAGAATCAAACACAAATGTCTGAGATCCAAGCCTATTTGTGTATGTATAACTCACATATCCAACATCAAGCTGTAAGTAAGTAAAAATGTTTTGTGTGTTATATTTCTATTTAAATACATAAGTTCAAAGAAACATATCCTATTAATATGTTAAGATTTCTTTTCCTTTTTTTTCCTTAATCTAAAATCATACATGTATTATCCAAACTTTGTCAACTAGTAAACAAATTTGTTTAATCCTTGAAATTAATAAACCTATAAAAAAAGCAACTTAAGTTTGTAATACTGTGGTTACACTGCATCTGCATTTTACATTTCAGTATTTAAAGAATACATATTTTAATTAAAAAAAACACCTTTTTTAAGAAGTTAAACATTATGAAAGAAACAAGTTAAAACTATAATTGAACTTGATAACAAAAGGTTTGAACCAAAAAAAAACCAACAATATATTATCCTTAACTCAGAGTTTACTGCATTAAGTAACAACAATTCATCTAAAACTTTTATTAGTTATTTAGGATATTTCAAAATCAAATTGTTAAAATAGGGCCACCAACAGTATAAAGCCTAGTTAGACTGTATTTGGTGTGAAGGCTGGCATAGCTATATACTCGTAACTGGAGGCATAAACAAGTCTTTCTATACATCCATTTTGTTTCTACAACTTCAATTTGTAAAAATATTGAATAATTAATAAATCAACTTACCTCAATATGTACTGTTTCACCTTCTTCAGCGGATATGAACATGAGGGTTCCATTCTGTGCTCGAGTGCGGAATGATATTCCGTTATACCATTTTGTACCAAAATGTACATTTGGAATAAGCTGATTACTGTTATCAAAGAATAAATAACCATCTCCGTTCAACTTCCTCGGCGGATCAATCACTGTAAAATATATACAAATTACACATTGAATTACACTAGATGTTTCAGTGATATCATTATATAAATTTTCAAGCTTGTAAACCAGTCAAATGTTTCCAACTTTTTTATTTTCATGTATATTAATTTATTTTGTTTACTTTTTTATTTATTCATTATTTTTATTATTTTTTTTATTTATTTATTTTTTTTTTTTTATTTTTTTTTGGGGGGGGGGGGGTGGGGAAGGGGGAGGGTGGTGATGGGGAGGGACTTTCAAATTTTTCTGCTAAAGGAAGGCCTCTGGTACCCCTTTGAGCATTATTTCAGAAACAAGCAGCAATTTCTTTTTTCAGTATAGAACAACCAACCTTCCCTTAACAAGAAAAAGCTTTTTAAACAGGTTTAGTAAAGTCTGTCTGTTAGTAAATGTCACAACTGAAGTTTCAATGAATATTTTCTGTGGTCACACGGGAATAAAATGTTACTTATATGAAATAATATAAATAGCACATCAATTTTAAAACTTTGGTTTAATTTGATACTAAAACTGGGTCACATATCATAGAAGTTATGTGAGATATGCAAGGTAATGCAAAATCATTTTTTATAATAAATGAGATATAAATGTCAAGTCAGACATTTGTCTACAAAACGTTATAAAAATGTGAATTCTGCATATTGATTATATTCTTAGTTTTACAGTCAAACCTGTAATTCAGACCAGGGGCAAAATTCATAAAAGGCTATTTCTTTTTCTTCATATTTACAATTTAAATACATGTATGTGTATATTAAAATTCCCTTGGTTTTTAGAATGTTTCCTTACAAAAGATTTGTTCCAGTTAAGGATTTTTTTCAACAACAAAACTAAAGAACTTTATGAATACAGTTCCCAGAATCCCATAATGACCAACCATCGTATGTCAAAATTTTAATTTAACTCAAAATTGCCTCAATCATAAACACTAAAATTTTCATTGTAATCAATCATTTCACAAATGTTAACTATACTGAGCTTAATTCAGTGATATTAAATAAAGTTGCACTCACTATTTCCACAGTCTTTTCCGCCCCAGTTATCAGGACAAACACAAATATACGTCTCCCAACCATCTACACATGTTCCTGTAATTAAATTAAATTAAAATAAAAACACCTGTAGTTTATAAGAAATTGATTTACTGGACACCATATTGCAAACTTTTTATAACCACTCTTCAATGATATGCTATATAAAATATTTTGGTACTGTCCTTTACATTAATACTATATTCCAGTATTAAATCTTGGAATTGCCTATTTTTTAGCTGTGTAAGAACTATAATACAATCAGGAACCAACTTCAAATAATGAGAATGTTCACTGCATAATATATAGTGTTTTTTTATCAAGTATTTGTACAAACCAGTCTAAAAGCTAAGAAATTTCATTGGTAAATTCAAATTCTTCAACAGCCAATCAGGTACATAGAAATGTAGACTGGTTCTCTATCATAAAATAAAGGGGTTTACCTCCATGTTGACAGGGTGCTCTTTTACAATGATCATGTTTTGCCTTACAGCCAGGTTCAGTGCCATTGTTTGCTACAGATTTATTGAAGTCAAGAAGTTTTCCATCCACATAAAAATCTCTCATACATCCCACATAATCCTTGTTCCTCACTTGGAAATTTGATGGTAATGTTGGCAAACCACCAATCTGCAAGGGTCCAGTCAAATCCAGCAGTTTTGGACAGTTCAATGGATTACCCTGCTTTGAACAACTATAAACAAGAAAATCAAACATTTGTTATTGTAGATTTGTTATTATTATCTGGAGGAAAACAAACCAAAAAAAAGGAACATTTTTCTTTCCTATCTAATTGTTACATTCAAACAAACTGAATGTATCATATACATGTAGTGTAATTACTTTCCAAAAAGGAAATAAAAACAACAACAGATTTTTTTTCTTATTTGTGGCTCTAATCATTTCACCACAAAATATAAGTTTAAACTGAAGTGACAATGCATTTATAACAAAATAAGATGTGTGATAACAAAGTTTATTGTACTGATTTATAAATAGATATAGAATAAAATAAACAACTAACTGAACAGAAAGCTCATCACAATACATTGTATTTTATTAAAAAATCCCTAGTGAAATGTTAATGTTATTTCAATAATGGATAACAAAAAATTTTTCCAATATAACATACTTTTTCATGGTGAATTGTTGTGAAGCTCGTGCAGCACACGTGTAGTTGATAGGTCGGCCATATTTCACTGATATTTCGGTGTCACAATCTTCCCCCACTGTAACAGTTGCAGTCTGTAAGGAAATTTATAAACACATATAGGGAGAACTTATTACATTTATCATAAACTTGAAGTTATTATTTCCATCTTGAAGATCTATCTTAAGCTTCATTATACACGTATTTCTGTATGTTTGCAAAATTGATACCATACCATGCTAAATATACGAAATTGATTAAAATTATTTAAAAGCAAGGGGGCATTTTGACTTCCTGAATAAAATGTAATTTAAAAGATCTTGTAACTTTTGTTCTGGGGAAATGCGATGATCAGGACTTTAAACAGATCTATAAAATAATGTGAAAAATTAAGGATTTTTTGTGTATATACGTTAGTTAAAACGTCATGTTTGTGATACACACACCATACCCCACCCACACCACATCCCACCAACTTACCCATTTTTTGGGAAAATTTCAAAATGTGTATTGACTGAATAGAGAAAAGTGCAGAACATAATAGGATGGCACAGATGTGCTGTGCATTGGTTGCACAGGTACATTCTGTAGCCCCATAGCAAACAGACTAAAAGTTAAAATTGTCATTTTTTAAGCATATTAGGTATCATTTAGACTAGGTCATATTAACCATAGGGACCCAGCACAGTGTTGGGATAGTGTAAAACAAGAGCTGTCACAGGAAACAGCGAAGCTCGACTAATAAAATACTGGACGCAGTAAGGAGGACAAAACTATGAAAGAAAAATCAATTATGTATAATTATGTATTAAGTTATAGTAAAAAAACATCTGTTAACATAAATTCCAAGATCAAGCGGAATAATTCTAGAAAAAGTCACACTAGAGTTATGAACCTTGTCACACAACATGTGTGTAATGATAAGAAATATATATTTGAAGTTTGAAGTAGATACCTTAAAAAGTTAAGAAGTTATAATATTTCTTAAAGAAAAGAGAGACAAATCTGTAAATATTGCTTCAAGAGTTATGAACATTGTCACATAAAATGTAATTGATGATAAGGAATAAGTATTTGAAGTTTGAGGTGGATACCTTTAAATATAAAAAAGTTATAGTAAAAAATAATATTTTTTAAAGGAAAATTCTAAGTTCAAGGGGAGATAAATCTGAAAATATTGGTGCTAGAGTTATGAACCTTGTAACATAAGATGGGGATGATGATAAGGTACATATATTTGAAGTATGAGGTGGATCCCTTAACAAATAAAGAAGTAAAAGTAAAAAATAGTATTTTTTGAGGAAAATTCTAAGTTCAAGGGGAGATAAATCTGAAAATATTGGTGCTAGAGTTATGAACCTTGTCACATAAGATGGGGATGATGATAAGATACATATATTTGAAGTATGAGGTTAATCCCTTAACAAATAAAGAAGTAACAGTAAAAAATAGTATTTTTTGAGGAAAATTCTAAGTTCAAGGGGAGATAAATCTGAAAATATTGGTGCTAGAGTTATGAACCTTGTCACATAAGATGTGTTTGATGATAATGAACATATAATTGAAGTTTGAAGTTGATACCTTAAGAAATGACAAAGTTATAGTGAAAAATATTTTACTGCACCAAAACTTTAATCTGAAATCTGGACGCGGACGCCGACGCGGGGGCGAGTAGGACAGCTCTCCATATACTTCGTATAGTCGAGCTAAAAAGTAATTCTAGAAAAAAAGATAGATATAGTCTAAATATTATATATATAGTATATATTTTTGTCTAGAATTACTTTTTTACACTATCCCAACACTGTGCTGGGTCCCTGTGATATTAACAGTGCATGTGACTAAAGTTTCAAGTATATTCAGTAGTTTAATAAAGATGCATGTTGTTAAAGATGCATTACTAAATGAGCCGCGTCACGACAAAACCAACATAATAGGTTTGCAACCAGCATGGATCCAGACCAGCCTGCGCATCCGCGCAGTCTGATCAAGATCCATGCTGTTCCCTTACAAATACTTTAACAAGTAGAGAAACTGATAGCGAACAGCATGGATCCTGATCAGACTGCGCAGACTGGTCTGGATCCATGCTGGTCGCAAACGCACTATGTTGGTTTTGTCATGACGTGGCTCAAATCACATAAGAATGAGAAGAATAGCTCCAATATTAGAATTTAAAAGTGCAGCTAAAAGGAGAAAGATTCATTAAAATCTCATCTATCAAATACATGTCTTCATAATTTTTTACTTTTTACCCTTTCCATCTTACATCTGACATGGTAAATGCAATCTATCCCCAATATCAGCAATTTGAATAGTTTCTATAACTCGCCATAAATAGATATATCTCTAGATTATATCTACATAAAATACTATTTCAAACATCCAATTGATGAAAGCTGTGGCCAATTACTATCAATGGTATCATTATAGGGTAGGTAGACAAATTTTAAGTAGACACTATGTGTACCAGTTACATGATGTCTTTACATTCGTCTTAAACTGATTGGTAACAGATTTCTAGACAATAAAATGACTGTATAATTTTTCTAATTTATACTTTTAATGGAATAATTGAAATTGAAAGTTTAATTAAGTGTAATGAAACCGTTGTACCTAAATATAGATTTGCTTACAAGTTCTAGAGGTACAGAATTACATTTTGTCCTTTAATTTCATAATAGAGCCATCACCCTGATTTCATTGGTGCTAAAAGTATATATTATTTAGGTCAGACTGCACATGCCAGACTCTATACTCTTAAGTCTCCATAGACTTACTAGATACCCCCAAAACTGATAATGGACAGCTCCAAAAATTAAAGCAGGACAAGTCCATTTTATAATTTCAGGACAGTTGTCAATAAAGAAATCATTTATTATTAAAGTTCAGCAGTGTTTACAAATAGAGCATTTTATTGAATTTTGCAGTTTAAAAAAAAATCAACACTAAACTAACAAGATAATCATCATAACAATCATACCCCACTGCAATATTATTGGATTTTTTTATGACATTCAAAATGCAATTGGAAGATAAATACATCAATTATTCACTTTGTCAGCTCATCAGACGATATTGTATCAATTATTTACCTATTTATCAGGCATGTTTTGCACAATTATGTGCTTGCAATCCTGATTTACCTGATAACAACCACACACTAGAGCAAACTTTGCAAATTCTAATTCCTCCAATGCTTGCTGTAATAGCAAAGCAATGTCACCAGTAGCGATTAAGGCCAATCTAGGCCATTCAGGCTGATTTAGGCAAATAGACGTCATTTAGGCTGATTAAGGCAAATAGATGCTATTCAGGCTGATTTAGGCAAATAGACGCCATTCAGGCTGATTTAGGCAAATAGACGCCATTCAGGCTGATTTAGGCAAATAGACGTCATTCACCATTCAGGCTGATTCAGGCCAATCTAGGCCATTCGGGCTAATTTAGGCAAATAGTCGCCATTAAGGCTGATTTAGGCAAATAGACGCCATTCAGGCTGATTTAGGCAAATAGACGCCATTCAGGCTGATTTAGGCAAATAGATGCCATTCAGGCTGATTTAGGCAAATACACGCCATTCAGCCACGCCATTCAGCTGACGCCATTCAGCTGATTTAGGCAAATAGACGTCATTCAGGCTGATTTAGGCAAATAGACGTCATTCAGGCTGATTTAGGCAATTACACGCCATTTAGGCTGATTTAGGCAAATAGACGTCATTCACCATTCAGGCTGATCCAACCCAGCAAGCATGCACATCTACCCAGTGTGAAATACTCCCAACTTCTCAATATTTTATAGTAGTTTGAGAAAGAAATCACTTAAAACTTAAAATGGGCTGTTCAAATTTCAAAGGAAGTTAATCGCATAATTGCATGAATTATGCAGTCTAATGATTATACAGTCAATCAGGCAAAGCAATAAACAGACAATTTTAACTGCTTAAAAGAAATACACAAAATCAAGATGATCAAATGAAATAAAATGTTTTAACTAATTGCTGTATGTTTCACAAATCAGCAAAAATAAGTTTCATTTAACAAAAATTAAGGTTGCTTCCTAAAAAAGTTTTTCATTCAGACATACAGATAGCGGGAAACTGGACTCATATATTAGGTTCAACAAAAAATTGGGGGCTGATGATCTTGTTTTTGAATTATCTGCCCTTGAATTTAATTTCGAAAAAAAAAATCAAAATGTCCTTAAATGTCTCACTCAATTTTTAAAGCATACATGAAAGCATGACACATTTTAACAGGGATACATAAATTATGTATACTATAATAGCACATTTGAAAATGCTTGAAAATGTAATAAAATGACTGCTACTATTTTTCAGACTCATTTTCATGGGATGATAAATGGTTATAATTAATATGAAAAATCATCATAACTACGGGGGTAAATAAAATTAAATTAAAACTTATGATTTCATAACTGCATCTTATTAAAGATATAATTCAAATATAACATTATGAGGCAACTCATGATTTATGAAAAAAAAAATAAGAGAGAGTTCAGGTTTGTGTTTTGTACATAATAATAACAGTGTATAACTTGAGTAAATGGTGCATAATTTCATAAGCTAGAAATAATTGCATTCTTTTGCATGAGTCTTGCAGCAGGTATTGCATTCAAATTCTGCACAAAGTTTTCAGGTAAAATCAAATACCTGCATGATACAATGAATTTAGTGCATCTAAATGCTTTAGCCTAAAGCGAATACACAATTAGCTTTCTCTTTTTTTTACCCTTACCCCACTAAATTCTTGTAATGAACTTTCCCTGCTTTGAATTTGGGCCTGCCCATTTTTAAATTGAGGGATATTGTTAACGAAATTTCTAAAACTGAGCTCTAGGACAATATAGGATCTGGTGAGTCTGTACAGAGGTGCTAACTGGGCATGGTAGCTAGCACAGGTTTGTCAGGATCATTATCACTTCTGGTTCTTAGAGATTTAATTGTAAAACCATACATCAAGTTACATCTGCACAGACTTAATTTACTGTAATTTTACCAAAAAAAACAATTATCAAGGGCACTTGTCTTGAAAACGAGCCAGGATAATTTTCATTGCATAATAGCTGAGTAGCAGCTGATACTTTGAAATGTTGATTTTAGAAGACAAGAGGGGAATAAAACAGAGATCTGAAGTTATATCTGATATGTAAAAACATCGGCACAAAACTTTTTATTTCATAGAAATTTCAGAAATTGAAATCGTCTGAATCATGCATGTAAGATTAAATTATATATTTTTGGAATATCAAAACATCTCTTTTATCTAAAGTGCATTTACTTTTAAAATAAGCTTATTTTAAAGCTATGGGTATATTTCATCCTAAAATTATCCAAAGAGCAGCTCATGTTACCTTTTAAAATAAATTTTTTTGTGGGAAGCTGCAGCCTTGTGGTCAAGGTATCTGCTGCTCAAATTGGGACTGTGGGTTTAAGCCCTACAGACTGATCACTACCATATTTTCTCATAATTCTAACACTTTTTCACGAAAGTGGCTTGAGAGTAATAAACATTTGAATTGCAAGACCTATCAAACTTAAATAACATATGTTTAAATTTGATAAAAAAATCACTTTAAAATGTAACAAGTGTCAACACTGCATTTTCTTAAATTGCATATACATAACTATATTTAATATTTTATTCTCTAAAGCATTAAATTTTATGGTCAATTAATTTATACAAACATTAGCCCACTGGTAAAACACCACTAAACTTAGATGACAGATCTAAATGGCACAACTTTAATCTCTAGTTAAATGAATGACACACAGTGCATGTAATGAAATTATGCAATTCTAAACAAACCATCCAAACACAGGTAATATACCATTGTCATTTAATGAAAAAAATTCTATTGTGTTATGGCACAACAATTATCACTCTGTCCACCCATCATTTGTGTAACATCTTATTATTGTAGGTATTTACTGAAGAAATTGTGTAAATTCATGCAATTACATCTCTATTAGCTATGCTGGAATTATAGCAAACACAGTGGTCAAGTCTGACATTTAGACCACCTAGGTCAAGTCACTGTCCAATATGACATAATTTAAGACAAGTAAATTGACCATTACAAATAATCAATAAAAAATACCCAGGAACAAATTTTAATCAATTTTATTTATTTTCTGTAATACAAAATGTTCTGCCAATTCTCTATATAACTAAGACTTTTAGAGACATATAAGGCTTGTCTGTTTTATTTTCAAAATAACTTATTATTTGAGAAAAAAACTGTAATATAGATTTATATATTACAGACCCCATGACATCTTCTATGATAGAACTCTTTAATAATACCACTATTAAATATTGGCAACATGAAACAGCTCATTTCTATAACCATAAATTGCTGAATTGGCTGTCTGAGAAGCAAAGGCTCCAAATATCAAAGCTACAAAATTTTAATTGTTCTGTTCAAGATCTGCTACAGTTAATGAAAAACACAGCTATTAACACACCTATTTATATATCTGAACTTACCATATTTAAATAATCCACGGTGACTTTGTGCCACTTTCCATCATGGACTCCGCCATGTATATACGGGGAGACTTTCACGATGTCGGATCCCGTGGAGAACGAGAATTGAACTTGCGCGTCAATAATCTCCAGTGCCATGAAGTCATGAAGCTCATTGAATCTACCATTGTAAAACAGCAAACCATTCTTATGTTGAGTTGCAAACCTGAAATAAATAAACAAGGCAGTCAGATATACATTTTCATACTTTATTTTTATCATGTTTCGAAGGTTTAACCTGCTCAAATTTGTGAAATGGCCTTTTCATTCCATCGTTCAGTTTTAGGAATTTCAATATCAAAATATTAAATAATAATCAGCACACAACAATCTGCAGCGGAGTAATGTTATATTGAAAACCCTTTTAAATTAACAATGGAATGTTCCAAATTCAAATTAAGACCAGTTCATTTCATAAATAGGGCAAGGTAACGAGGTTATTGTGACATAAGGCTTGTATGTATGCTGTAAAACTAAAGAATGCTCAAACTGCATGTTATTTTGAAATCATTTATTTTCTTTATACCTGGTACTAAATTAACTTTTAACCGGCTGAAACCAAAAGTGATTAGCCTTTGCCACCAGTATAGATCCATGCCGCCTACATATCCGTGCAGTCCGACATATCCGTGCAGTCGGACCAAGCTCTATACTGTTGGCTGACTTACTTTTAAATCTTCATCTTGATATCCCCAAAAATGATAATGGTTAATTCGAAAATAGAAGTCTAAAAAATTCAGCAGGTAGTGGTTTCAATGTTTAATATAATTATTAAAGTGATGATAATGACTATCTTAAATTCGTAACCTTGTTATTTTACAGACATGTATATCAAAATGTTATCATTTTGAACTTCTTTCTTCAATCTAGGTAACAATTACACTAAAGTAATGATAAGTGTTTAGCAACATATTAGGGGATATGTTAATATAAAATGTGCTTAATTTGAAATGAACATGATACTTATTAGCTATTCGTTACTTATTAACTATGTATATGCCAGTCCCTATTTAATTTACCCATATTTCAATATAAGGAAACAAACTGAGTCAAGTTATTACATGTTTGTTCTCTGATATTAATAAAAGTATTTGTTGTTGTTGTTGTATAAAAATTTTCATTCTACTATAATATTGTAATTTAATATTAAGATATGATTCACTAGTAATTGTGGACATACAAATCTATTATATCCAAGTGACCTTGTGTAAAGAGAGAGCATTAAATGGGTCGACTTCGTAGGAATAATGTAATAATATTCATGAATCGTTTTAAAATTTACATCTTGAAATTTACTTCTTATAATCGCAAGAAAAAAGTAAATATTTACCAGTAGATTGGATTCATTTTCAATCACATAAAGGAAGATTAGAGTAGTTTATGAAATAATTAAGTACATAATGGCCACAGAAATATGATCAGGTAAAATAAATAACGCTAATTCAAGATAATTATGCAAAGCTCAATAAAAAATAATCTCCCCATTCCTTCTTTATTCTCATCCACTTTTTATGCCTGTCAAAATCATTTCCTAACTTTGAAAGGAACAATTTTTTTGAGATAAATTTGAATGACATATATATCAATAAACAGGTACAAGCAATTTTATCTGTAAAAAAAAAAATCACAATAAGTATATAGGTCCAAGTACACCATGTGGTTTTTAAAAAATGCTTTTTCAGATATAAATGTGTTTAAATCTCAAATATTTGATTAAAGATTTTTTTTCAACAAGAGCAACCGGTGATCAATAAATGACTTTTGGTGAAAGGAACTGATGTGAAATCTGATAATTTAAAAAGATCATATAGAAAGGCCGTATTCAGTGCATGCATGCTATAAATAACTTCAACAAAAAACATTACTTTTTCTTCTGTATTTACTCTTATCTACATTCTGCACAATCATTGTTCAAATATAAATATTCAGATTAAAAACTAAGGACCATGAGAGATAAGAACAAAGTAAGATCTTAAATGAGCAATGGCTTTATATTTTAAAATGGTTACTATAAAAACTTGAAAATTTTTCAATAAAAATGCCATATATTTACAATGACAAATTAATTAAGATGCAGGCCTTCTTTGATTAGCCTAACAAATAGAAATTCTTTAAATAAATTTTTTAATTGATTTTCAAGCACAGTTCATATGACAGTTAATACATTTTTGCATCTATAATAGTTTTGTGGCATTGTTATGTTTATATTTGATCATGCTAAATAAATCACTTATGTAAGTAAATTAGTTGTTTGGTTTCCACCTGATTTTGACACATTTTTGGTGAATCTGATGTCTGAATCAGCAGTGATGAACTAAAAATAATGACCACTGGACACTAAGTCTAGATAAGGATAGTGGGAAAGAAAAGCAGAGAAGATTGCTCAAGGAATGCATAACTTTTCTATATGGATCAATATAACTTAATACAAGTAAACGTATAGGTTAACATAAATCAATGGAAAGTAATAAAATTGTGGTGGTATGTCCAGGATACTTGTCTTTAATGGATTGGTGACACCTGTTTGAAAGTTGTTGAACTTTTTCAATGACCATTAAAATAGTCCACAATATAAACCCCCTGCCATTTTGAAAATTTAGGTCTCTAACAGAGATTTAACTGCTAATTTAAATGACTTGTCTATTTCACCAGTATTGAGTAAGACCAGCTTGTACATCTATACAATTTGACCTAACTCTATATTCATGGGTGCTTAAATTTTGCATTTTGAAACCAAATTATCTTACATTAACATTGGATGGCTCCAAATTCAAAGCATGTTCCCTATACAAATTTTGTATGGTTATGGTTCAGCTATGAAGAGTAGATTAAATAAAGGGGCAGTAGATTCTACTCAAGCAACCAGTGTAGACCAAGAAAAACCAGCATATCTGTGCCATCTGATCATGGTCTGCTCTGTCCACTATTCATAATGAATGGTTTTGTCCAGATTTAAAGATGGACAAGTCCGTTCAAGATATTTAACATGATAAATGTTAATTTACAGACGAAAAAAGTTCTGGTAATTTTGACAAAAACGTTTCAGAAAATGTAAATATTACATACATTTCATACAATTTCAATCCAAACTAAATTTGTGTAATGGATTTGTTTAGCTTTCAAACTGGATATAGTTAATTTCAGTGGTTTTAATATAAATTTGCCATTAAATTTTTGGCACTATCCATTATCTACTTTGGGGAAATCAAGATGAAAATTTGAAAATGGTCAACCAGTGCCTAGTGGTTGCAAAGGCTGTCCACTTTCGGTTTCAATATTCTGATTAAAAGGATTTATAATACATGTATTTGTGTTTGTTCTACACATGAATACATTAAAAAAAAGTTATCTTACATTAAATGTGCTTTAAATCTTTACATGACAAAATACGAACAAGGCTTTAAGATATGAAAATGACCTCTAATCTTTGAAATATCTCCCCATGATTTCCTGTTCTCAAGATTCGTACTGTTAGGTCCCGATCTTATAATACAGCACTTATAAACTGTACCAAACAAGCAACTTCTTATGAACGCAAAAAAAAAATGCCTTCTCATTGAAAGCTCGCGAAATAATCTGATCATGTCATGCTGAACTAGAAAGCAAGCCGCTTTATCCCGTTTAAAAAGCACAGTTTACGCTAGGTTTGCTTTTCAATGAAAAGACTGACGGGCAATTAAAATCGTATTTGGTGTTGTGTATTTTAAATAAAATGCGTTGTGCATTATGATAAAATGGTAACTGTCATGTGTTTCATACATTAAGAGGGCTTATTGATATTTTGCTGACAAAATAAAATAAACATGTACAAGCTTTGCACCTTGATGAATGAAAGTCAGCGTAAAAATTCAATTCTGAATAAAAAATCAATACTGTCTCAACTGAATTTAAGTATGCAATCTAAAAACACAAACTGACATGTATACTGTCTAAACTTACAAATTTATGAGCCACTTATGTAAAATCAAATGAAATTTATATCGAGATTAACTAGAGATGTGTTCATAGGACACTAGTGCTCATGTGCAAATACATGTAATCATTTAAGGTTAATATAAATACATGTATATTTTTTTATAACAGAAAACTAGTCAACTAGCTATAAAATTTACACAGCCATTAAAATATGCTTTTGTTTTCAGGTACGGAAAACATATAAGAATATATACAATGTACATGTATATATTACAAACAAAATTTCTTTGTGATATTTTCAGACAAAAATTACAAACTTTTTGAAAATTTTGTTTCTAATTTATATTTATAAATCTATACTTTTTTTCTTTTATCAACAAAGTACCGGGCATTATAATTGATGAAAATAGGTGGAAGTGGCACTTCAATAATGAGGGAGAAATTTGCTTAAATTAGAGCTCATTAGTATGATTTTCTCTTAAGATCCCATAGCATAGATATGAAAACACAAAACCATAAAAAAAAATTCAAACCAAGGTAGTTCAAACAAGCTTGTTTGAAGTAGCTTATAAAACTATTTGTTCATGGTGGTTGAAATATTGTACTTTCTCTGTAGTGTCAACAGATCTGTGGTAAATGTCTCAATTGAATGTGCTTTTTCTATATGACAAGCAATAAATATTCAATTACCGACGTTTACATACTGTTATACTGTTAGAAACCAATAACACGGCCACTGAACCGTAAAAAACTGACCATAAACATAATGTTTTGCCACTATATATAGACAAATATAGAAACAAACATCAGAAAACATTGTTACAAAGCAATAAGACCATCTTGAAAATGACATTAATATTTTTCCTTTTAAACTTTCAGAAAATAGTGTATAATATTTGTATCTAAAAACAGTTGAATCTCTTCTGAGGCAAAACCTTTAAACAAAAAGACATAAACGTCTAAAGGTAATTTTCAATTACATGATTGTACTTCAATACTTTAGCTTACTATAACTTTCGCTGCCTTCTCAACAACATAAATGCTTTCCTTTTTATTTTTATTCTAAAGTATATGACAATATTTCATAAACAGCTTGACAAGTTTATTGGGAATTTTATTACAACATTTGCTGCATCTTTATTAGGTTCTATTTGCTGTTTGCATTAATACAAATTATTTACAGTGACTGGAAGTAAGCATAAATAATGCTCTTAAATTACATATCAGTACTTGCATCAATGCATGTTTTTCTCGGATTATAAAACTATATATATAAAGAATTGCAAGCTTCAACAAACAGGGATGTCGTTAGGAGGCCACTGCAGACTAAAATGACAATTTTGGATCGCCTCAAAACTTAGAAAACATTCTTTGTTGTATGTGTTAAAGCCAAAAATGTTTACTTTAAATTCAACATGGCCCATCTCAGAAAGTTTTTAATGAAAACCCGGCCAAATAAATCATGTGACTGGTGATGAACAAACTACTTTAAATTGATTGTTTATCATATACTTACATGACAAGAAATGTGACTAAAAGTTAAGTCCTTTTCTTCCTAAGAGACTGCAAAGAATCATGGTTTCACATGAACTTAACTAATTAGGTTATTTACTGCAGATACTTACTTGAGTTGAATATTGAACCTATATCGAGACTTGATGGTCGGATACATAAGGAAAGATCCTTTCGGAAAGCTTCTTGCAGTCTGCTGGCAGAACTCATTATAGTCAATGTTGTCCGGGCAGTGATCACACCTGAGACCTCCATTGATTAGTGGTAAACAAACAGAAGGAGGCTGGCATGCATTAGCTGGACACGTGACACCATCATACTGGCTTGATAAGTCTATCTCACAGCTTGACCCTAAAATATAAAAAAAATTGAATAATTATAACTTTACATATCTTGAAATATAAACGCTAAAAATAAGCTAAAACCATATCATACTCCTAAATGTTGACTATTACTAGTATTTAGACAAATGTTTCAATTTAGAATCACTCAAATTTCCAAAGCGTAGGGACCTGAACAAATAAGCTCTTTAATGAAATGAATAAGAGCTGCCTCTGCACATGGGATTACAGTATTTTCTTCTATAAAAAGTCTCAAAATAAAAGCTAAAGTAGTGTTTGCCAATTGACAGCAAATAACCATGCCCCTATAGCACACAGTCTATCTAAATAATAATTTCTATGGAAACAGAACAGAAACTTAAATTATTGCAATTAACTTTCATATTTCAGAATAATATCTTGCTTAATACTGTAGATGTTTTGGATGATGCTCATATACATGGTTAGTTATTATTATGCAATACAATAATATTTATTTTTTCATATTATAACTGAATACCATTATAAAGTATTGGGTAACATATTCGTTAAATTTCAAAAATTCCAATAATGCATACGATAATTTCACCATCTCCAGCACAGAAAGGGAAACCTGATAGTGACTGCGATCAAATTGTCAGTCTTAAGCGAGATTTGTTTTTTCCCTGCAGCTAAAATTCAGCTTAAAATTCAAACCTAAAGCTGAAACAAGTCACTGCGGCACAGTGAATGTATCTATAATGAGAAGTCTTAATGTGATCTTCATGTGTAATGCTGCAAGAAAGACATTACAAGCTTTATCTCAAGTTAACATGCATCAATATTGCCCACAGTCATGCAAAAAGCAATTCCCCAAATGAAATACCCAGATATTCATCTTGGTAAATGACAAACAAAAGACCAGTATAATTAAAGCCTGGTAAAAATAACTTGTGTACATCTGCATTAACAGTGCCTGTCCACCCTGAGCTAATTACCCCCACAGGATGTAGTCACTAATTAGTTGTCTCAGGCACAAGGTATTTATAGAGAGACTGGGTCCAAAGATACAGAATCAAAGACGGAATAGAAACCAGTCTGCTATTGGTCAACTTCATATCTGATACTAATTTCAAGCAACAGTGTCTTTTTATTCTTAGGATAAGACACTTGAATTTCAACCAGAATGAACAATGACAGTTTAGTTTGAATACATTAACATGTCCCAAAGCGTCAAAATACATTACTTTACAATTTTGTACCAATATTTCAACATAAGTCCAGTTTTTATCATTTACTCATATATAAGGTTCATTTTTTTATATTACCAGCCTTTATAGTCAAGTCACCAGTAAATATAGCCACTCCAGCCTGCATGTACGTACAGTCTGATCATACCCTATATTGATGGTTGACCAACTTTAAATTTTCATCTTGATATCCCCAAAATGGAAAATGGACAATTCCATTAATGGATCTATGAAGCTGGACAAGTTCATTTAAGAAATTCAGCAGGTTAACGACAATGTGCAACTTTTAATGCAACTAATCCCTCATACCATAAAGATAGCAAAAACCGTCATAAAGTAATTTTTCTCGCATGACATATTGATTTCACATTAGTCACACACAGGAAACATTGAGCAGATGTAACTTCAACAAGAAGATATGTGAGCCCTAAATATACATGTCAAACACTCGGTGGGTATGTTTGTACTGATCTTAAGAAACGACAGGATAATTTTTCATTTTATATCCGACACAAGATAAGTATCATAAACAATTAGGTTGTCAACAGATAAAAACATGCGGGAGAAAAATGTTGGCACAATATATTGGTTGTTTATATATACTGCAATATTGGCAGTTGTGCGGCTTCAAGGTTTGTAAGCTAAAGTACTAAGCACTCTGGGAATAGTGCTCGAGTGAGCTATTCTAGTGGTGCTATAGCACTCTAGTTGATATAATTCTAAATTATATTTTCACGAGCCCGGAGGGCAATTGTGGATACAACTTTAAGCATTCCACAGAAGTGATATAATTAATCAGAAAAGCACACAAATGTAATTTCCTTTCATTTATATTCCATCAGTAAAATGTGAAAATTGAAGGAATTATTTTGCAATATGAATATGAGTATGAATACATATCATCAATACACATTTGTCCGTAACAACGATTTTGTTTGTTTGTTTGTACGCCTTTTTCCAACAGTATTTCAGTCATATAGGCGGGTAGTTTCCTAACCATCGTTCCTGGAGAGTTACACCAGTACTAGACTACCTTCCTCCGCGCTAAACTACCAAAGCATCTCTTGGGGATCAAACCCACGCCAGAGAGTACAATTAGAAGTCATTGACTCTAACCCCTCGACCACGGAAGCGGACCCGTAACAACGAGAGCAGTGCATAGTGTGTCATACAGAAAATTTATCCTATTATGTATGTACTTCTTCAGTTGAAAGTTATCATAAGCCAGGCTTTTTCCCCCCTTCAAAAGCAGAAGCCACTTACAGGCTGTTTCCCCTCAAGAAAATTGAATGATGTAGGAATTTAGTAGTCAATTTACAAAGAGGAAGATTTCTTTCAAAATACATGACATAGTTATGGACTTTGATACCATCATTAGATTTGAAAATTGATGTTGCAAGCAAATCTTTTAATCAGAAAATCTTTAAGTTAAGAAAGGGCCATAATTCAGTCAAAATCAATGCTTGAACTCAATGACCTTGTACAGTGACCTCCTATTATGATCCCAGAGACATGTGTGAAGTTACAAGCATATATCTTGAGATTATATATTGTTGTAAAAGAAGTTGCATGCAAAACTTTCTCCACATAATTGTTATGACAACCGAAGATGAGTAGGCTGTCCTAATATTCTTCAGAAATAAGATTTCTTCAATAATGTCTTTAACTACAAAACAGCATGAACAATGAGTACTTTAGTTAACTGTGTCAATCAATCAACAAATTATATCCTATTAGAACAACCCCCTCAAATATCCTCTTAGAACAACCCCCTCAATCTCTTTTATCTATTTAATCATTAAGAAGAGCAATTTTAACAATCAGTTGTACATAATTGAACATCTCACATCAAAACCATAACAAAAACCATTTAATCACTCACACAGCGATGACCATGGAGTAATTAAATACCACGGTAACAAAACAACAATATATCCACTATCTAAATCAATGGGCATACTAAAATCTTTCATTTGTTCCCCGGCTTCTAGCATGACAACTGACTGACATGGATGAGCCCAATAAAACAACAGGAAAGCAATACTGTGTAAAAACTGTCCAGTATCAAGTATCAAACCCTATAATAACTATCAACACTGGCATCAGTGGAAATGAACAATAAGCTTTGACATATGTGATTAATGCACCTGAAAATTTTAATACAGTAGTATAGAAAGAGGTCCACAGAAAATGCAATTTATAAAAAGTATTGATTTTTTCCCCAACTCCTGTCCTTATAAATCTTTGAAGAGGTAATGAAATAGGAGGTGGTCTGACAGAATTATATACTGTGCACATTGTAGTTAATTCCTAATTAGTTCTTATTGACAATCAATACGGCTGATGCTCATCATTCACTGCAGTTGCATACACAGAGATGTCTAAATAAACAGCAACAGTAACAGCAACAGTACTCAATCTAAATCTCAGTCCAAAAGGAAACCGACAGTTGAACAAATAGAATAAAATACAATCTCATTAAATTATGAAAGGTGGAGTGTTTAAATCAGAAATGTGTCCGTGAAAGCCCCTATATTCCACTGTTTGTCAGTTTAGACAGTGGATGAACAGTATGACACCAGGACAGAGGAAAGGATGGACAAAGTCAAGGCACCCCCACCCCAACAAATAAGTGGGGGCGAAAAAAGCAGCCTATCTTTACATGAGAACAACTGTCTCAATCCAAAAACACAAATATTATAACAATCACAGAGCTAAATACCAAAGAATACAAATTGCGTTCTAAAAACTTAATGAGTTCATATATATTTTCTTTGTAACAATCAGTGCACATTCAATTTCAGATGAAATCTGTTTAAACCCATCATTTTAACCATTATAATACAGGATAAAGTACAGCAAAACCTAACTAAACATTCATATTAAAACTGGCATCTGTATGCAAAGGGCCAGTAGCCAAACATTGAACCTTTCTCTAATCCCATAATCCTTTTACTTCTTCAGGTAGCCAGACAGGTTCTCAAAATTTGATATGATTATACAAATACAGCGGAGTGAATCTAATAGTAAGAAAGGCTCAGTCTGAAAACAAAGTGATTCAGTTAATGCAGGTAATCCATTTTAAATAGAATTATTCACTTTAAGGTGAGATAAGTTGAAGCATGGCCAGTAAAGGTAACAGCTTTACATACAGCAACTCTGATATGGACAAACAAAATATAGACAAAAATTCCAATGACTTTAGTGCAATATTCAACACCTTTAGGTTAAAAGTACTTGACCCCTCCTTCCACTTGTTGATATTATGTAATGGACTTGACAGATATTGAATTTGGAACTGACTTCTGAAGAAAATAAGTCTCTTGTAAACTGAAAAGAATGCTTAACTTAAGGAGCTAAAATTGCAAAAGTGCACAGGGTGACTTGGCCATCATTAAAGGGAACTAGATTGTCACAAAATATTGTCTATGTAAAACTAGAAGGCAAATTTTTATCTTTAAACTGATACATGTGCATGTACATTACAATTGAACCTCTTACTAAACTATAACAGGTAAAAATCTTGAAACAAAATCACAAAATCTTTGAAACTTTATTTTTTACTTGAAAATGCAAATAAATCAGTGTGCTGTACCTAAATGACTTGTACACTAACATTCCTTTGTTTATCTGTGTGTGTTAACTGTGTTTTTTTTTTTCTAATTAGAAAATTTCATTACCTTAAATAGCACATTAAAAATCAACAGCCAAGACAAAGTGAAATTTGATTCGACCATTAGCAAGAGTTAATAGTTTAGCTCATGTATCATACAAAACACACAGCAAGCGTGGTTCAATATTGATTCACGTGGCATTTTCCCTTCCCCGTATCAGTATTGTATACAACATAGCGTTTTCCTCTATGCATTTTTTCTAATAAAAGGCAGCAAGAGTTGGAATGTTATTTTTTTATTGACTTATATAAATGGCTTACAGCAGACAATTCAATAATGTTTTCCCAAACATTGTTTTACAAGTCTCTAGCAATGCCTTTTGACATTCCTATAGTCTCTCCCATTACAGATAAATTTGAATTGTTTAATTGAATAAATAAAAATCAATTATTTATGAAAAAAAAACCCACATTATTTGACTTTGTTAATGTTCTGGACATTTTTATCAATGCTTTAGGCTTTTGTCATACTGTTTTACTAATCGAGAAAGGTCCACTGGACATATTATTTTAGACACAAAGAGGACACCTGGATAGTGGATAGAACTGCTAACTTTAGATATTTGACTAAACTCACTAAAGAGGTGGACATGTGGATGAAAATAATCCATTTTAAATACTCATGTAAAGACTGAGAGGCTGATCATTTACTTTTGTTTCATGTTGGGTGGTACCACACATCACACCCACACAGTATACAGGCTTTATCAGCTCCTCTATTATGGAAGACTTGTGTCAGACAAAGCTAAGTTGCTGCAGAAAGCGATAATAACCTTCAAATAGCCAGCTGAATTACTTCCAAACACAAGAGATGTGAATACAAGAGAATGTTAGTACAAGAGATGCTATCTGGGAATGGTGTGCTTTTCCCCATCTATTCAAAAGGTACAAACTCACTTTTACCATTATATCTTCACAGTGCACCATCGTTCGGAATACAGCCAAGTTGTATTTGCCAAGTTCCAAAGTAACTCCAATGACAAAAGAAGAAAATTATTTAATAATACTCCAAACGTTTTTTTTTCAATGCAATAGCATAGGAAAGATTTGTTAATTTATATTTACATGTGTAATTAGAAGAAGTATAATTGTTTTTTTACCTGCAAATCCAGGTTTGCATTTACATGTATAGCCTTCCTCTGTACTGTGACACGTGCCTCGTGAGCTGTTGCACGGGTTAGAGTAACACAGATTAATCTCAACACTGCAGTATGAGAAACTGTTATTATCTGAAATGATATTTCAAACCATTATTACTTTATTGTATGCTACTTTTTTTCAATATCATGATAAAAATGAGTATAAAATCTTTTATATGAGTACTAGTCTACATCTACAAATCTGATTGGTTCTTTCAGGGTAAATATTTAAATGTGGCCAATGGGACAGCTTTATATTTAGACTGGTTTAAAAATTCAGTAAAAATAATCTCAATTTGAATGGAAACGAATGACTTTCTATAATTATAACTATATAACTATATGTTTATGCATGTATATTGACCTATATTTATATGTGTTGCATGTATGGAAGAGGAACGTAAGTTCAATTCCTTATTGTTGAATAAACTTGATCTGTTCTGTTCTATAATATATTTATGTTTATGGTGAAAAAGTAGCAACAACTTAAAGTACACATCATTTTAAATGTTGATCAATGAGTGTATCTAAAATAAAAAACTTCAATTTGGCCACCTACATGAAGGGAAAAAAGAAGGATTTTTGTAACATTTTTAAACAATAATAAATTGGTCATTATTTTCTGTGTACATGCATCATTCATATTACCACCTGTAAATAGATCTACTTTCATGTTTAACATTATCAAGTTTACAAGTATCAATGTCTTTTTATCTTCTGTGTAAACATTATGATAAAATCACAAGCTTTAAAGGGAACACTTATCTTATCAGGGCACTTAACAGAAATGACCCTTAAATAAGATACATTGTCTCCATGCCTGTGGCCCTTTATAGATTAGGGGTCACTGTTTATGGAGAGCATGATGGGAAAATAAGGGGTTGTCAATCTGCTTGGACAAGTATGTTACCAGTGAAACAGATCAGCTATCTTTGATTACAGGACAATATCTCTCTTGTATACCCCGCCAGCCTTCACAAGTCTTGGGTCATGTTTCGTGACCTTTTAAAGCAATAGTGACAACTGTTGCTATGTTGCTACGGTAACTGTTCAGATATTTGTGAATAGCTTTTGTGAAGATTTTATTGGGCATCAGGTAGTGAGACACAAAAGTGATGTTTGATTTATTTTTCTTCATTACAAAGGTTGGACTTGTTTGGGTGCATGACAAATCAATTAAACAAAACTTATACAAGTGTCAAACACGGCACATGGTGTGCGTCCGAGCCCAAACATTGACTTCTAAGATCAATTTTTCGGCAGAAACTAAATATTTTAAATGTAAATTTCCTGATATAAGTGACATTGATCTCATTCAGTTCCTAATTAAACAATTGGGACAGAAAAATAATTTTGAATAATTTAACGTGTCCGGTCTATCCAATGAAATATGAGCAGTCTTAAAGTGGAATATAGCTTTTATACATTATTCAAATACAACCAATCAGAAAATAGATTCAACAGAATAGTTCTAAATATCTCATAAGCAAGATAAAGTAAGTACATGCAGTCTAAATATCAGGATTTTTACTAAATTTTGTTCTTATTAACAAAAACCATGGTATATCAGCAATATAATTTTGACTTTGTGGTGTAAGTTATTATTACAACTAGTCTGAAGTATTCTAAATACCAAACACAGGGAACTTTCCGCTTTCAACTTATGAAAACTCCTTAAAAAAAGAGGGGGCATATAAAAGTTTCGAATAAAAAATTATTGCAAATATAAACAATCATACAAATATTTAGAAAAGGAAAAGTTCCACTTACTGGTAAATCCATGTGGACATTCACACTTGTAACCATTATCTGGATATATGGGCCGGAACAGCATTGTGTCTGAGGAGATAAAAGGAGCTGCCTCGCCAAAACTCAGTCTTGACAAGCATTTCTCAAAACCTCCACACACTTCAGTCAGACATAAATTGTCATCAAATGGTAAAATCTGAAAATGAAATACAGTATCACATGTATGAATATAAATACAACCACTTGTACAGAATGTTTTTTTTCCTTCTTTTTATTTTTCAAGCAATCACTTTCAGCTGAGATTTATCTTTAAAAAAACCCATCATATCCCAGTGTGCAATTCATCTTCTGAAAAAAAGCAAGGGGAAATGGCAGGGAGGGGAATACAGTTTCACCAAAAACCCAAATAGTTTAACATTACTAAGAGCAGGGAGGGGAATACTATTTCCAAAAAACCCAAATAGACTCTAACATTACTAAGGGCAAGGAGAGTATTACATTTTCCCAAAAACCCAAAATTTAATAGTCTAATATTATGAAGGGCAAGGAGGGAAATACATTTTCCCAAAAACCCAAATAGACTCTAACATTATGAAGGGCAAGGAGCTCAGGAATACATTTTCCCCAAAACCCAAATAGACTCTTTAACATTACTAGTCAGAAAACTTGAGAGGAGCCTATCAAACCCTGTGGAAAATCTAATAGACATCATAAATAATCAAATCAATTAAACAAATTAATATATTTACAGAACAATAATTAATCATTTTATAGGGCCCTTAAATATCTTTCTACTCCATACCAAATAGTAACTGTATCAAGAATGGCTGGCCATTATAGGTTCATAATACACTCGACAAAAATCATAATATTTCAATTATTGAGTTATAAATCTGGCATAAATGTCCGCCACATGAGCGCAGGTATTGCTGGCAAGGCGTACTTATCACATTTTGAGTCACTTCAAACATTGGACTAAACGTAAGATTTATGATTGCTATATAGGTTCACTGACAACACAGTGTGGCAGATAAGTCAGACTGGATCTAGATAACAAGTCTTTAGCTGTATTGTTGACTTTGTACACTTGGACAGGCACATGTAGGGTTTTATTTGAAGACAATGGGTCATGTAATCAATGCTATTTGCAGACCGAAAGGTTTCTTAACTGAATCATTACAAGTGTCAATCAATGACAATCATTATCTAAATGGAACATTTTACTTTGCCTTATAAAATTTTCTTAAAAATATCTTTTTTTAAGTTTTAAAACATATAGTATTATTCTTCATCTTAGTTCAACCATGCTGAAGTTATTTAGAAGACCTATTCCGTTTTAAATAGTACAGTCTGTTAGAAGTTTAAAGGAAGTAACCTACTGGAACCAAAAGTGGCAAACCTTGGCCTGGGACCAGTATAGAACCAGACTCTTTGCTGTTGGCTGACAAATTTTAAAATTTTCATCCTGCTTTCCCAAAAATGATTACGTGAAAGCTGGAAAAGTCCATTTAGGAAATTCAGCAAGTTAAGAGTTTAAGGTTCTCAGAACAGAAAATAGAACCAGGTTAGTGCTGACTGGGACCTGGCTCAATACTGCTTGGGCCTAGCTATATTCATGTACTTCATGTACTGCTGGGGCCCGGCTCGATACTGCCGAGGCCTGGCTCACTACTGCTGAGGCCTGGCTCTATACTGGTGAGGGCTGGTTCTAAACGACTGGTTAAAGCTTTGCTATTTCTGCCCCAGCATCATAATGGTGGTAAGGCATTAGATACTCGAAGGGAAATAAAAAGATTTAATCCCCAAAACATCCCAAGCCATTACATTATGCCATATAATGTAAATGTATACACTATGTATTCTGAACAGTTTATCATACATTTATTATAAATTGAAAGGCAGACCTAAATTCAAAATTCATACAGAAAAAAAGAAGGGCTTATTCAGACAATCTTGTGACACAGGAATGAAAAATAATCCTTCAGAATTGAGCACTTTATGACTCTTATTGCACTGTGAGCCGGTAATAAATTAGCATAATACACCGTTATTGAAATTCTACCATGCGCTATACAATTCTACCCTAGTTATACACCGACCATGATATTAGAGAATGTATTATAAGTTGTGGTGTAAAGATGAATGACAAGTTGATTTGTCACATAGCTAAATCTGCAATATGATATGAAGTTTTGGGGAGGTTTTTTCCTACAATTTATCCTAATTCAAAATGTCTTGTCTTGTTTGAAATAAATAAAAAAACAGAACGTAATATTTGTATTACCACTAGCAATCTAAAATTCTTGTCTCTAAAAACGTTTAAATATCTTTACTGTTTAAAATATTTTTTTTTAAATTTCAATATACTTCTATTGAATTTCTAATAACAGTTTGCTGCATTTGAATTCATAGGATAATTTTTAAGCTTTTCAAAACATTTTAATAACATTTCATTTCACAGAACACTAAAAACACAGCTACAAAGTAGGTTGCCATTACTTTTATAATTTTGAGGAGTTAAAGTCTTTGACATATGAAAAATTAATGACAAATTAACAAACCTGGAGAGTAGAAAGATTGGCCAGCAGCGTTCTTTGAAGATATATTTGTTCTTTCAGAAACTCTGCACTGTAGAAAATGTCCACCATCTGCCTGTCTATGCGAACTGACTTCTCACGGACAGAAACCGTCACATTCAATATCTGTGCTTTCACGTCCGTGTCATTACGAACATTAATAAGGAAGATGTTTTCCTTACTCACGTTGATGATCGTGGCCAGAGCGTCCACGAAGAACGTGAAGAGTGGTGACAGGAAGGTATCGCTGGTCATGTTGTTAATTCGAATAGTGACACTCTTTTCTAACATTTCCATGGTTACTAGACGTACTTGGAGGCGACATGTTGCTCGTACCTCATTCAGACCATCTGGAAAATATAAAATAATACAGGTTACTTTGTACTATATATAAGTGAAACAGTTAAGGATACATGTAATATATACAAAAAACTTAATAAAAGATATATTTCTATCTTGTTATGAATGACTTGTATTTATATAGGAATTGAGGCATGGAGTTGCATGGATACTGAATATAAAAATGTATTGGTGTGGTAGTGAATGTCAAAAATAGTCAAAACACAAAATAAGGCAAATTTACTTAAAAAAGTTTTGCTTACTTAATTTTATAATGAATGGTATTATATTATAGTCTTTAAGACCTGAAAGTTTCTTTATATAAAACTCCATCACATGCATTTTACGAGGGATGTCCGGAAAGTTCGTAGACAAGGCTATAAAATTATTATAAGCAGTCATATTAATAATATGATTAAATATTTTGCTTAAGTATTTATTCTGCTACAAATTTCTAAATTAAAAAACATGATAAAAGTTGTATTCGCAAATCGCCAATCACCATGGCAACATGATCAACGAATCACAGAGCACTTTGAATTCATGACAATAACTACTCTAATAAAAAGTTGCTAAAAGTTGTAATTTTAACGCAAACTCTTGTTTTAATGTTGTGACATCATAGGGTACTATTGCTTGATATTTAGTGAAAATAAAGACGTCATACGCAAAGAAACAACTTGTTTACGACGATTATAGGCAATGAAGTTGCGTTAGTTTTGTGGCGCAAAAATGACGTCAAATTCAAGGACGGAGCAACGTAATGTCATTAAACTTCAAAGCAACGCTTATAATGATTATAATCTTTACTTGAAAAACAAAATCAACCATAAATTGTTAAGGGCAACTTGTGTTTAATTGTCAAACACGTTTAAGAAGCGGTGATGACAGTATTTTGTATAAGAAGCGTATCAGATGACCAAAAGTAGCATGGCCGAAATGTCGTAGATTATGTTACAATAATCCTTGAAAAAGGCAGACATTTCACACACTGTATGGGAACCAGTGACACCTTTGTTGTTGTTGTTTTTTTGTTTTTTTAATGTAGTATATGAAATTCATAAAGTAATAGCAAGGGAACATAACATGTATAAAGTATATGCCAGACAGATATGGCTGTTTAAATCGGAAGAAATTGAATAGTGGATAAACATAAAATTAAATTGACGCCGTTGACGTTGTCAAAGTGCTCCATGACGATGTATATATGTTGTATGTAAATGCTGTAAAAATACAAACATAAGTCACAATTTAGTAATTTTTTATAAATGTGTTCCCTAGATATCATATGTATATTTTTGCTGACAAAATTTGTTCAACGTATGTATTGTTATACAATAAAAAATGAAGAAGTAAATGAACTTTCCGGACATCCCTCGTAGCAGTGAATTTCTAAAGTACATACATTTATATAGTGGGCTTGTCCAATAAATGTATGTAGCTATTAAAATAGTTAAGAACCTGATTAAGACTGCATGAATATATGGTGAGGTGTCTCGCACAGTGGTGACAGACAAGTTATTATCACTGCTTTATGTGTCAACAAATACAAAAAGCAGTATTCTATTGTATTGTCAAGTATGGAAATTATTTACACAAATTTACTTCATAGTGCATTTGATCTATTAATGCCCTAAATACTCTGACTTCGTTAAAGCAATTATAGATTTTTTTTATAATTGGAAGATTTTATCTTATTAAGTCACTTTATTCTATTTTTTTTACAGGAAATCATTATGGTTGAAGTTAGTTATTAAGATATATTACAAACCACTTAGGTTTTAAGATATTAAGTTTTAGAACATATATAAAAAATTTCCTTTTCTTATTTAGTTTTATAGAAAACATTTTATCGACAGATATTTTGTTTGATATCAAATACAATGATTGATTATAATATATTATACAACATTTTTAAATCAACAGTACATTGAAATGGTTGAAATAATGTTATACTTACAGGGGATGAATGTAAAATTTCTTACATTAAATAATTTATACAGAAAAAAATCTTGTGTATCAATCTTATCAACAAATTGGTAAGAAACTTAATCAAAGATGATTCTTTCTGAATATGAGGGGACATAATTTAAGTCACATAGTACCAAATGGGAATTCTATGTGGGGATATTAATATTTAAATATTGCTAAAAAAGAATTTGTCAATGTGAATAACAGAAAGGGTCAATAGTAATATATCACAACTCCTTTGTAAGATCCAAAATATTTTCAATTTTATGCAAATTAATATTTTAGAGAAAAATTCTACGCTAACTTCAATTATTTTTTATCGTATTATTGAATTACTATTAAATTTCGCCATCATTTTGAAGAAAAATGGTAATTTTGTCTGTCAACAATATTTGTAATGTTTAGTATTGTGAAAAGAATGATTTCAATTTTATTTTGTTAAGGGTCTTCTGCTTTATACATGTATAGGCAGATAAAACTAAAACAAAATATTTCAGGAGAATCTTTTAAAGAATAGGGGGAAAATATAATTATATTAAATTAAATGGGGAGGGCAATAAGGCCAAATTACAGTCCTTAAAATTGTGAAATGAGGGACCTGGCAAAGAGGTGCTGGCAAAGTACTTGATTTGACTCTTACTCATTATGCAATGAAGCTGTTGATTTTCATTACGTTACTGCGAATTTCTGCACACATGTATCTAAATTCTAATAAATTATTAGTAATAATTAATGAGAGACAACCAGAAATCAAATAAAATCCAGATAATCCCATACTTTAATTAAACTAATGGCTAAATAATCTAATATTCTACAATTTAAATTTAACTGTTATTTTGTTCAAACAAGTTTAATTGAAAAAAAAAATATCATTGCTTTTATCCCATAGATACATTCCAGTCTAAAAGTCTGAACGACAATATTTATTCAATTAAACAGTTATCATAAACGATCTAAAATCACTGAACAGTTAAGCCCATTTTACAATAGGTTTCGCCATTTTTTGGTAATTTTCAAAAATTTGTTCCGACAAAGGATTATTCAACAGTAAGAAAAGCGTCAAAAGTTGTGGTGAATGGTTAATAACCAGCCTTTGTTGAAGGCTAGGCAAAAATCTTAACAGACCATTTGGTCAAATAAACACCTTTAAAAAGTTCAAAGGGTAAAATGTCCAATGCGATTAACACAAAGAATTACAAAAGTTTATCGTTGTTTTTACTATTAATATTAATCAACACCTTTTTAGATCTACTTATTGCTTTGAACATATGGCATCAAAATTGATTTACAATCAAATACTGAAATACTGTTAATTTCTGAACAAACCTTTCTTTCATTACATTACATAAAAATGTCTTTGATCTTGTGTTTCATCTTAGAATGTATAATGTTGCCTTAAATTTTGAAATCTGTACATATACATGTATTTGTAAGCTAATGGCTACATAGACCATATGCATTTATGAATTATCATAAAAAATCAACAATAATTATCATAAAAAATCAACAATTATAGCTTGTTCGGTGAATTGATATATCACAGAATATATATGATATTTTTATTCATACCTTAATAGTGCCCATTGGCTATTTATTTTGTCACTTCCCTAATAGATACATTATCAGATATATTTAGATGATCTAGATATTAGAAGAAAACAAAGATTTTTATCATTTGACATTAAACATGTCAATGCAGATGGGAAGAAAAGTATCCATTTTTTAAACTTTACAATGCATTTTTTTAATCATATACTTTTGAAATTATTTATTGCATCCTGTTAGATCAGGGTAATCAATAAATAGCAAAACACATTTCCCTTGATAAAAATATCAACATTTTTTTTCCACTTTCAATCTTATCAGTATTACACCCATATCATTGGGGGGGGGGGAATAAGAGAAAAACTAAAGATATCATAAAAATCTTGATTGATAAAAGCTAAGATATCAACATTGTATGAAATACCGTCATCTTTCCTAGTGCACTAATGTGTAAACTCCTTATATAATTCAATAAGAGTTAACCTATTACTGCACTAAGGTGACTGACTATATTTGAAACTTTCAAAACATTTAAATAGAAACCACATAACAGTAATACATTATAAAATAATGAAATATCATGCATTGCTTTTTTTTATTTGATATCAGTCCAGTAATACTTAATACACACAAAGATTGCCCGTTTCAATCTTTTATCCTTCCCTATCTGATAAAGTAAATCTTATCAATTAGATTTGGATAAGTGTTTCAAAGTTAAGCCTTACATACATTATATATATAAACAGATTTAGTATTCAATACACACTGCAGACATAGGAAAAGTTTGCACTAATGCCTGAGCAGATTACATTTAATTTTTTTTTTTGCAAGAAGAGAAAAACTGAAAACAAAAACCATTGTCCAATTTGATTTTATAAGGAAAATAAGTTCTAATTTTTAAGTGCTAGCCAATTTACCACAAGTGTACCTTGTTCAATGAAGTCTCCCCACAAAATGTTTTGGCAGTTAAATTTTGAGATTTTGACACTGAAATACTAACACTTTAAGTTTATTGACTTACTATAAATAGAGTCAGAATCAAATCAGGACAAGGAATAAGTAAATTCAGCTGGGTCAAGTTTACAGAAACCTTTTAACTGAAATTATGAAAATGAAAATGCCTAGTATATAAGTAGAACTTACCAGAGACTCTAACTTGAATGGTTCCATTCCGAGGTACGTCTGAGTTGAGTCTTGAATCCAGAATTATCTCCCCTGTAGATTTGTTCAGCTGAAGAAATCCAGCCTCGTTGCCCATTAAGAACTCGTACTTGAGTTTAGGCTGATCAGTGACATCTGGATCAAATGCAGGAACTCTACCAATAGGTTCAGATGGGAAATGATCCACATAGTTATTAAATATGATCCGGAAGTCTTTCAACACAGGGGCATTATCATTAACATCCTGAACTTTAATGATTATCAGGGCAGTAGAAATCAAAGGCCCAGACGCTGCTTTCAGCCGAATGTAATATTCTTTCTTATCCGACTCATAATCTAAATCAACACGATTTACAATAATTGCAGGGTCTCCTGGTTGGTTCGCTAAAAGAAATTTATCAGCATCTAGTCCACCTTCTAATGTGTACTCAACATCAGCATTAATCCCCTCATCAGGATCATCTGCTTCAATTACTGCAACAGTTGAACCAATTTTTTGATTTTCTGGTACCAAAGCTATAATTTCATCCTTAGCAAACTTCGGAGCATTGTCATTTATATCTTCTACCTTAATTCTTACTTCAACAGATCCTGTCAGTGGAATTACACCTTTGTCTACAGCTAGTACAACAAGAGTGTAATTATTACGTTTTTCTCTGTCAATTCTATTATCTGATGCCACACGGATATCTCCACTTGCATCATCAATTTCAAAGTCACTATAACCTGTGCCTATATCCGAAAATCTGTAATTTATTTGGGCATTAATTCCCGAGTCAGCATCAGTTGCATGTACTGTTGTTACAAGATGTCCGTCAAAAGCTGCCTCACTGACAGTAGCATCATACACTGGTTTATCAAATTTGGGTACATTATTATTCTTGTCATTCACAATTACCATAACACTAGCTGTATCTTGACGAACTGGGTCACCGTGATCACTTGCCCGTACCTCAAAAGAATATGCTGTATGTAGCTCATGATTCAATACTTCACGTGTTGATATTTCGCCTGTAACTGGGTCAATACTGAACTCCTGCACTCCTATTATTTCATATGTTATTCTTCCATTTTCGCCAACATCTTTGTCCATAGCTTGAACTTTTCCCACTGATGTACCCACTACAGCTCCTTCATCAACGTTAAATTGATAATTTGTAACTTTAAACACTGGTGTATGCTTGTTTATATCTGTAACATTAATATGCACCTCTGCTGTATCAAATCTATTGCCAGGTCCTGAATCAGAGGATCGCACAGTGAGTATGTACTTATTCTGTAATGTGTAGTCTAAAGTTTTACCAAGTGTTATCATGCCAGTCTCTCTTTCAATAGAAAACACCTGATTGTTATCACCACTGATGATTTCATATGTGAGACGTGCATTTTGACCAGTATCTGCATCGTTGGCCGTAACCCGAATCACTTGCATGTTCTTCGGTGCATCCTCTGGAATGCTGGCATAAAATATTTTCTGTGAAAAAATGGGACTGTTGTCATTGATATCATTTACAGTGACCTCAACAGAAACAGTTGCAGAAAGCTGAGGCTGACCCTTGTCTTTAACCTCAACTGTAAACTTGTATGATGCTTGTATTTCTCTGTCAAGGGTAGATCTCACTTTAATCTCTCCCAAATCTGGGTCAATCATGAAAGGAAAAGCTGGCGGAACATTAAGAAGTGAATAACTCACTTGACCATTAACTCCGTCATCATCATCCAAAGCTCGAACAGTCAAGACTTTTGTGCCTATACTTTCACCTTCAAAGGCTGATCCTGTGTAAACTGAACTTTGGAAATACGGTGCATTATCATTTAAATCGTCAATTCTTATCCATACATTTGTACTGTTGTGTTTTGGAACTTTCCCATTGTCAGATGCCTTAACCTTTAGATTAAATTGTTTATTAGTTTCATAATCTAAGGGTTTTTGCACAGAAACTTCACCTGTAGTTGGATCAATGTAAAAAGTGTCATCTAAATTCCCGCCGGTAATACTGTAAGTTATTTCCTGATTCCTTCCTTCATCTGCATCAGTTGCTGAAACCTGTGCAATAACGGGACGACTTGTAATATCTAAATTTTCAGACACGTTCACTGTGTATGGGCTATTAACAAATTGAGGAAAATTATCATTTTCATCAAGAACTTTAATTTCAATGGTTGTAGAAGATGAACGCTGTTTCCCAAAACTAGCCTGATCTTTAGCTTGAACAACTAATTGGTAATTTGCCTGTACTTCTCTATCCAGTACTTTCAGCGTTGAAATACTTCCAGAGGTAGGGTCAATTTTAAAGGTAGATGGGTTGGTTGGTACAATTATACTATATCTGATTTCCCGATTATTGCCATCATCTCTGTCAATGGCCCTGACTGTAGTTATAGTGGTGGCCACAGGTATGTTTTCATACTTCTCTACTATATAGAGATCCTTGTCAAATGTTGGTGTGTGATCATTTTCATCTTCAACGGTAATGGTCAATGTTGTGACAGCAGACTTTTTAAACATAACATTATTGTCAGTTGCTGTGACTTGAAAATCATGACGTGGTATTTCCTCACGGTCAAGTTGCTTTGTTGTTGTTACCTGCCCAGAAATAGGATTTATTGTGAACATGTCATTACTGCGTGAATCACGGATCGCTGTCATGGAGTATGTGAGTTTGCCGTTTTCACCTTGATCAGGATCTGTCGCAGTTATCAAAATAACAGAATATCCTGCATCTTGATTTTCAGGTATCGTAGCTCTGTATTCTGGTTTAGCAAATGAGGGAGCAGTATTTGGTGCCTGGCGTCTCAATCTTAAATGATCTCTATGGCTATTTTCAACAATGAATGTGTTGACCGAAGGATCTACCGGATGAATACTGATATAAACAGAAGTCGGTTTTTGATCACTACATGCAATAACTTTCAATGGCACTTTTAAATCTGACTCATACAGGCATTGAGCTCGCGTTGTAGATAATGACGAATTTTCAAAATGATACTGAAAGTTTGGGGTTTTCATGTCAACATCACAAAGATTTTGCATTATTGAAATTGGAACATGCTTATTCAAATAAAACACGTTTACTCCTTTTTCCATGCACTTTAATTTATTCCAGTGTGCAAATTTATCACTATATATCACAGTCTGAACAGAATGTTTGGCTGAAGATGAATATGTTTTCTCTGAAGAATGGAATGAAACAGTACATGGAAGGCTGTGAAAATAAATTCTTAATGAAATGATTGAGTAATTTGAAATAAAGCTGTCACCACTTGCAAGGGGGTACGATTTTGCTAATATTTTAACATCTAATGGATTTGACTGAATATTTTTACAGCATTGTTCAATATTTTTTATATTCACTGTTCCTTGAGTTGAATCTAATGACAGTACGTCATTAATATTTTTCAAACGCGACCAACGATCAAAATAATATGACCAACCATTTCCTAGACTTGCGTTGAAAATAGCGTCTGACAGTATAGTCCTTTTAAAATCCACATGTATATCATAGCTGATTACAAAATTCAAACATAAAATTTGAAGTAAGGTGTGTAAAACACCTGTCCGTACACTCCAATCCATTCTCAACAAATACCGTTACCTTTTGTTTACACAATTAATTTTCATGCTCGCGAGTCACTCGCGGTCTGAATAATTTTCTTAAAGCGACAATTTTATTTTAAATCAGAAAAACAAACAAAACAAGAAACACATGAATTCTAAATCCACCGCGATGTTAACGTAGCTTTTCTTTAAAAAAAATCCTGTGTATGACTTATCCTAGATGATTTCAGTTCAGTTAATCCCTCTCTCTGTCTCGGTAATCGATAGTCGTCTATGAAAATGGCTGCGATTTGTGTTCAATATTGGCTGTTCCGTCGTCCACCCTCGACAAAAGTGTCATATGTCACGGTTGGTCGGCTCTCTTTGATGTTTGTCTCACATCATTGACCAGTATGCGACAGGTAACGCACAGCGTGATAATTATTATAGACATCAACAACAGTAGTATTGATAATAATGAGCACTGATGTGTCAAAATAAATGAACATAATGGCTTTAATGAATAATTAAACAAAGCCGAGACGTTTAATTCAATATTTTGGAAAAAATATTTTAATGTCACATTACTGTTTGTTCAATATTTTGTTAAAGCACCTAGTAATTAGAATGAATTTCGATACCGGCAATATTCATCAGACTTCAAAACTTAACGTAGGTGGATGATAAAGATAGTAAGACCTTTAAAATCTTTTTTGCCATACTGTAGATCTAGAAGAATGCACTAAATACTGTTTGCATTGTTGCACATGTATTCTGTTATCTAAAGAATAAGTGAAAAAAATCAGAACTATTTAACAATAACAATAATAACAACATTTTTCAGACATTAGAAAATAATGATATAATAATACACAAGGAAACAAATCGTCTGCAAACTTTTTTGAAATAGACTATAACCGGCACAACTCCACTAAATCTTTTGCGCATCAAAACTGGCAGCGGTTACTTCCCCTGGTCAATACAGAAGCTGAATTTTTTAAAATAAATAACGAAATTTATTGTGAAAAGTTTAAGTTGCATGATTTTAATCGCAATTCTTGAAAAAAACAAAAACAAAAAAAAACCAATAAGATATTTGGTAACTGGACGTTGTTATTTGTCCCAAGTAGATTTATAAAAAAAAGCGGGAAGAAAAGTCAGTGCAAACATTAACAATGATTTTTTATTAGACCTTGTCCTGAGACCAATCAATTATTACTCTCCTGACTTTATAAGTCAATATAGCTCTCCATTAAATAATGACGACGCAGGATCTTTCCCTGCTCAGAACGATCCACAGCTAGGACCACAGGATAAAAAGTCACGCACACTACATGACGTAGGGAATTAAAATAAAGTAGTCAAACGATATTTAATGAAATCGTTTGCGTAAAATTTGTCTATATTTCAAATGATTTCATGCGCCTAAATTCAGAGCCATATAAACTGCGTCAGTAAAATTCAGCATTGAAATATACAGGGCTATAAAATAATAGATCTTTGACATTATTGCTTCATTGTATGAAATTAATGCGAAACAAATCATTTTTATCTAGCCCGTTTAACCACTTTCTATGCTATCATTGTGGTTAAATCGTCAATAATGACTGGATAATACTGTTAAGTCTGGATTACGTCATGGCTGTATACTATCTCCCCTTTTGTTTAAGTTACATATAATTAAATGATCTTGCTGTTTACTTGAAATCTCTTGATACTGGGATTATCGCTCTTACTCGTGCATTAACGCAGTGCAGTTTCGCGCCATGCGCTTCTTTTCAGGGCTGGGAATCAAAACTGCGTCGTATCCTACAAAATGTAAACAAACGCCGCCATCTTGGAACGAAAAATGTATGTTTTTGTTTATAACTCTTTTTGTTGGAAATGACTGAAAACCAGATATATGTATTAACACGCTACACTATTTTCCGCTTCTTTCGGTATATGTTGCTTAGACAACTATTTTGTAAAACAAAAGTTATAGCGAACTTGCAACTCGAAGCGGAGCAAAAAAAATTTCTCTGCTAGTCATACCGAAATAAGAAATTTAAATGTTATTCTCTTTATTATTAATTCAAATATTTATAATCTTAAAACTTCACGCCAGAAGTTAATTAAAAAGCTGCTTATTTGTACAGCTGACGTTAACAAATTTTGTTGAAAAAAAAACAAATCCGACCGTGGCCGAGCTGTTTATGTTTACTGAATTCAATTTACTTGAAATGACCTGCTATGAATTCGAAAAGTACCAGGGACTTTTTATTCTTTCGTTTGGAAAACCTATCAAGCTAGTTTCAAAATGTCGATGGTTCTCTGCAGGTGCAACATTTTGCCTGAAATAATGCACAAAGGCGCACCCGAGGTCCTCGCCCCTAGTAAAGCTAATGTGTAGAGTGAAAGTTTGAAAACAAACCACAAAAAAGCAGTCATTACCAAGAACATGCAGAACCACAGTTAACTTAGAGCGTAGCTAGCCAACATGAATTCAAGTTAATAGATTTCTATATTTTTTTGCGAAAAAGAATTAGGGATAATATTGAACATACCGGAAAATATAAGAAATTATTTTTTCAGATATTATGATCAATTAGGTAACATGTTCATGTTTAACTGAAAAGTAGCAATGTAAACTTTCAAATTAAATGTTATATTGGACATGACACAATTTATTCTAAATAATCAAAAGCAACAGAACATTGCTGTACACCGCAAATGATCTGGGTCTTTTTTTATCTAGCGCAAGTGATTATTCCATAAAATAGAAATATATTGCCAAAATTATCCCTGTTGAAAAGACTGCCAAAAATACAACTGCGTCGTATCATATTTTATTTTCAACTGCGTCGTATCATTTCGTAAAAATCATTATTTTCTAAGAAAATAAACATCTCTTTTTAATGAAATTTTAGTAAATGATGCAAAATTATATTTCGAAGTTTATGGTGAACTCTGAAACAAATAAATAATTGATTTGAAGGAAAAAACGATAGATAAAGCAATATGAACTGCGTCGTATCCACACATTTTCATAAAAATTCTGCCCCGCTTCGAGATGCAAGTTCGCTATAACTTTTGTTTTACAAAATAGTTGTGCAAGCAACATATACCGAACGAAGCGGAAAATAGTGTAGCTTGTTAATACATATATCTGGTTTTCAGTCATTTCCAACAAAAAATGTTATAAACAAAAACATACGTTTTTCGTTCCAAGATGGCGGCGTTTGTTTACATTTTGTAGGATACGACGCAGTTTTGATTCCCAGCCCTGTTTTTAGGTGTCGGTAGATATACGCCTAACGTCGCGGTTTCAGGTGAAATGGGATGGTTACCCCCAGAAATCAGACAGTTGAAATCTATTGCTATTCATTTATCTAGATTTCCTTATATGCTTGAAGCGAGTTGCACTTTGTACTGCATCTGCAGCAAATAGATCATGTAAGAACTGGTTTTTCTATGTTAATGATATGTTAAAAAAATTGTAATGCACACCAATAAAGTGATTTAAGAATTTCCATTCCAAAACATACTATAGTGAATATTATTACAACAAAATTGCAAGAAAAATTTGTTTTAAACTGGCTCGAATCTTTGAATAGTGTCACAGGTCCTTCTGGTCGTAGTGGCAATAAGTTGCGTACATATCGACTGTTTAAAAAAGAATATGAGACAGAATATTGTACTGAACACTCATTATGCCTCCTTGTCATCGCACTGCATTTAGCAAGTTTCGTTGTGGAGTTGCGCCTACACTGGGCGTTACGAAGGCTTAGATGTATTAGAACGAAAATGCCAGTTCTATGACAGTATTGAAGACGAAAGCCATGGCATTCTTGATTGCTTTGTGTACGATGACTTGCGACAATCATTATTTGATAAAGCTAAAACGGTAGATAATGCATTTGTACGAATGTCTAAAAATGAACAATTAATATTTCTGTTCACTAAAACTGAAATGATACGTTATTGTGCCAAAACCTGTTTTAACATTCTACGACGTCGTCTTTTATTTCTTTGTAAATAATGCCATTATACTTGCTTTAAACATAATAATGTATTTTTACCTAGGTTAAGGTAATCATTGCTAATCAGTTCATGCAAGATGTAATCTTGGATGATAATCGATCTTTTAAATGTTTTTATACGCGCGTTAGGGCTCCGATTTACAGTGCTCAATATCTTACATAATCTTTTTAGGACAGTTTTTATTTTTCGAATATCGATGGTTACCTTACTATTAATATTCTGTTTATATACATTGTAATTGAACTATTTGAATTAAGTCTAACTGTAATAGGTCTTGAATATGATTCTCATTGATATAATGTTTCTTGAAATTCTTAAATAGATTGGTCGTATGCAGATTTTATGTGAATATTTGTCACGGGGTTCCGTGGAACCCCATATGTATCTCAAAAATGAGCATCGGTAAAAATTATATGTGAATTTCCGCTGCACAAGATGTGAAGCATAACACCAGATGTGACTGTAAAAATAGATCAATCGCAGGGTAAGTGTTCATCTTTTTAAACATTCATATAAAATCCAATTTTAAATTTATATCAATAAGTCGATTATTAATGATATTGTTATTTTCTCGGAGACTTGAAATGGATAATATTGCAAGTTATGCTACTCATGAAAAGATTCATAGAGGCAGTGCCTCCTAGCGCAAAATAACATGAAGAAAAAAAGTATATAAACAAGTACGTCCATGCACCAGACAAAACTTTATACAAACCCATTACCACATTACCTATCGCCAATCTGAATAAATTAATAAATTTGTTTTTTGCTCTTTTTTTGTTTGTTTTTTTTAGTCTTAATTTTGGTACAGTCCAGTGACCCATGTGCACTATGCGTTATTGTCAATAGAGCATGCTACTGGTGTATAGCAGTTGAGGAGTATCAAAGAAAAATCACTCACCGCACCACGCGATAACTGTATTTAATAGATGTTCATTCACAAACACAAATATTTGCTTACTGGTTACCATGCAGTGATATACAAGTAAACCTCCTCGTAAGAACTTTACCATAAGAATTATTCTACTCTTGTTCACGTAAACAACGCAAAATAAAATGAATACTTTAAATGAAAATTGTACCAATTCAAACACGCTTCACATTACTCCCCTATTAAGCAGACAGTTCAGTCGAGTCATTAATTAATTAATTAATTAATTAATTAATTAATTAATTAATTAATTAATTAATTAATTAATCAATCAATTAATGCATGACGGCATAAAACGGGAATGATTGCAGTATACATATGACGTCAATAAATCAAAATAAGCAAGGCCTTCAAACCATATCTACGTATTTTCAAAACCTTTCGTATGCAGAACGTCTTTTATCTCTTTCTATATGGATACTATGTTATTCAAGCTTGTCTCGTGAAAATGTGTCTGTTTCGGATAATAGTTTTTATTACAGAATGATACACAAAAGAATAAATCATAGATTGCTTTATGAAATTGATGCGTAATTATGTTGCTATTTTTTATATTATGCACATATGGATGTCTTCGGCACATATGGAGCTCAAATACAATTTTGAGCAGCTATCCCTTCGTTTATAGCCACATCTCAATAAATGTTTAAATCAGGATTTGTCTGAATGTTAAGTATAAGTTTCGGTCTGGAGTGAGATTTCGTAACATTTCTGTTTTCTGAGTCCGTTTAGTGACATTTTCTTCATTCACATTGCATGTTTTGGACACACCTTAACCCACGACGGAAAGAATAGCTCGATGGAGACTGCATAGAAATCCAAAACAAAAATGGATAATATAAAGGAGAGTCAGGAGGGTAGAATCACATTTCGATTTTCTTAAAAAAAAGGATTGGATTTTACATAATTGTTTAACCCTTTCCCCCATGAGCATATTGTGAAAAATGGCCATTTTCACTGAAAAGCCTCCTCTTACAAGTTCAAACTGCTATAAAACTATGAAAAATGCTTTAATACTATTCAAACTTGGCACAAATGTTGACTGGACCATTGCCTTTGTAACGACATGCCCAGTCTTAAATTTCCTGTTACCCTGGCAACGAGGGGACATCTCAAAATTGCCAAAATTCACTATTTTGCCTCGATTTTTTACATCAAAATTTATTTCAAAGTGCTGCAACTTCTCAAGGGATTGAGATAGAGTCAAAGGCTTTTCAGCGTTGGTTACACGTTACCTTATGATCGACCTGGGGTCATTTTAAGCCTCTCACAAGTCCAAAATTTTCTTTGCGATGAGGGGGACTCCGCCTCATTCAACCCCCCCCCCCCACTCAGAAGGGGGCACATCCCCCTTCTGGCAACCTCCTGATGTATCTTTTGGATGGGGGGGGGGGGGCGCCGAAAAAGTGCTCACTTTTTAAGCAACATTTCTCAAACGAAAACATGTGTTTGGGGCCCAAATAGGACATTTTTTTCACTATTTCAGGCCTAAAAAGGGGGGGGGGGGTCGAAAATGCGTTGTTTCGTGTATAAATGAGGTAAAGGGTTAACAAAAAATGACGAAAAACTTTGGAATCACCCAAAATCTAGTTTTTCCATGTTAACATGTGGTCTTTTAAATAATTTTGGTGAAAAATTGTTGTTTTGTAACATTTATATTTTTTTTTAGTTAAAAAGATGAAAACTTACCCTATTGACCTATTTTAACAGTCACATCTGGTGTTATGCTTCACATCTGGTGCAGCGGAAATTCACATATAATTTTTACCGATGCTCATTTTTGAGATACATATGGGGTTCCATCCCCGTGTTTGTATATACATGTATGTGTAAAAATGTATGTATACGAATGAGACAAAAATAAAGTATGAATATATAGTACTTGAGAAATTGAAAGTAAGCAACACACTCGCGAGTTTTAGTTGTTAAATTGTTTTTTTCATCCGACTTCCACCTGTTCTAATAAATATTAGATCATATGCGGTCACACTTGTAAATAAATAAAATGTGTCTTTTACAGAGCAGGTCCAGAGAGAAGGATGGGTACGGGTGTGTGGGACAGAGCCATGCAGCATCCTAATGCATTGGAGTGGAAACAAAACACCTCTGTGTAATGTCAACCAATAGGTTGGCTTTTTCATACGGTAATGACGTCATGTCACCAGTTTCATTATTTATTTCACATCTTACTCGATACTTTCAAAAGATATATGTGGTCACAATATTTTTTAATTATACTAGTCCATGGTTAAACAACAGCGGAATGCTTAGTGTCAGCAATACTTAACAAATAAAAAATAGACCAAATGAATAAAGAAAAAGTGTCGACCAGGCGGGAAAATACAAATATATTTTTTAACAATCTGATCATAGTAAAATTCTCAAATATAAACATGTCGCAGAAGAAAGAAATGTGTAAGAATGTAAATGACAAACCTACTTATTCATTTAGAAATTGTGTTATAGGATTTTAAAATAGAAACACAGGTCAGATAATTAATTTAATCATTTCATTCTGAAAATGTTATGTCATTTATAACAACAAGTTTCCGTTTAATTAAATATTGCTGAGTGCTGACAGATATACGATGACTGTCTTTCTCTCTGTTTGTTAGCCGACTGGTATAACTTCTTCTTCAACTTTTATTATAACCGTAGCTTGTGCTGAAAGTGGAATACTGCCACCATCCACCGCCTGAACAATAAGTGTATAGTTCCCCGCAGATTCCTGATTAATCGTATTGTACTGCGAAATATATATTGTTCCACTTTCCATAATACTAAAGTCACTTGGTTTGTTACTAGCCGAAATCAAACTGTACCTTAGTACTGCATTTAAACCTATGTCCCCATCGTTGGCATGTACAGTAATCACGACTTCTCCGGCTCTCAAAGGTTTTTGTACCATTGCTTCGTAAATCGACTTTGAAAATACTGGCGCGTTATCGTTCATATCAATAACTGAAACAGTTATTTTGGCAGTACATTGATACTTGCCGTCAGGGGTACTTGCTTGAATTTCGAACAAGTGTATTATCTGTGACTCACGATCAAGGGTTTCTTTGGTTTTTATTTCACCAGTGAAATTGTCAATACTAAAAGCATTTGTATACAGAAGCTCATATCTGACGGCAGTGTTGTTATTTGCTATTTCAACCTTCCCTATGACAGTATCCACTGCTTGATTTTCAAGTACGCTAAATTGGTAAGCAGTCTTCGGAAATGTCAATGTTTGAATGTGCGAAGCGATTACAATTATATGAACAATTGCTGTATCAGAATATATCCCGTCAGTCACTTCAACAGTAATGGTAGCATTATGAAAATTCGTGGATAACAGTGTCTTATTTAATGTAATGATACCTGTTTCCGTTTGAATCTCAAATGAATGTTCACTGTTCCCGTTTGTGATTCTGTATGTTAACTTATCATTTATGTCGGAATCTATTGCAGTCAACTTTGCAATGCTTTGACCGATCTCTGCGTTCTTAGAAACTTTTATAAACAAATCTCTATCGATAAACAATGGTTTGTTATCATTGGCATCTAATACCCTAATCTCGACTGTAGTTAAAGATGAGAGAGGAGGTATCCCATGATCGGTTGCCTTAACTACAATTATATAACGATCTTGTTTTTCTGTATCCAGTTGTCTTGATACCAATATTTCCCCAGTGTCAGCGTCAATAATAAAAGGTAAGTCCGCTGCTTTAACATTACCTTGTATAGAGTATGTTAGTTTCGAGTTATTTCCACTGTCAGCATCACGAGCATTAAGTCTTGATACAACAGAGCCGACAGGTACGTTCTCGAGTACCCATAAAGTATAGTTGTTTTGCACGAAAAGAGGAGCATTGTCATTTACGTCCAATACATAGATATTCAGAGTTGTAGTAGTTGATAAACGGCGATTTTCTCCGTTATCTGTTGCTTCTATTCTTAACTTGTAGAAACTTCTGTTCTCATGGTCTAAAATAAGATTAGTGAATACCTCGCCAGATAAAGGGTCAATACGAAAAGCGCCATCTACGTTACCAGCAACTATACTGTAGTGTAAGTCCCCATTCTGGCCTTCATCTAGATCGTAAGCATATAAACGAATTACTAGCGTTGAAGATGCAGACTCTTCGTAAACTTTAGCATCGTAAGATCTTTGCGTGAATGTTGGCATGTTGTCGTTTTCATCAAGAACTATTATGTTTATAACAGCAGTCGATGACAGCTGTTTATCTAACATATCACGATTCTTTGCTTCAATAACTAAGTGGTAACTCGGCTGAACCTCTCTGTCCAAAGGCTTCAATGTTGTAATACTTCCCAATGTAGGATCAATTTTAAAAGTGGTTTGGTTAACCGGTGCAATTATACTGTAAGTTATATCCTGAGTATGATCAGAATTTGTGTCAGCGGCTCTGACAGTGGTAATGATGCTGGCTACCGGAATATTCTCATATATCTCAACTCTGTAAGTTGTCCGGCTAAAGACTAGAGATCCTGTGTTAACAGAACGTCGGCTATACTGTGTTTCATCTTCTAATGCCCGGCGTTTCCAACTTATTCCATTTTGACCGTTGGTTGTTGTCAAAACAGGTACACACGCTATATAAAATGTATAGACAAGAATGTTAAACATGGCTGACACACAAAATATCCTGTTTCAAAGTAAAAGTGGTTATATTTTGCAAAGCTATCTAATAGGATAGGAATGTCGACGGCTGTATTTATATATTTATAAAGCAGGATACATACCTTTTACTTTAAGGACAGTGGAATTTTTTTCCAGTTATCAGTGAAGGACATAAACATAATTGCGTAAACTTTAAGTCAAAGAGTACTACAAATATTACATAGCATTTCGTCAGTACGTGGGGTCCATTTTAGGTTAAATAATAATAATTCAATAATGATAATGTTATTAAAATAATAATGATATGATATTGATGTTTATAATTATAATTTATTATTATTATTATTATTATTATTATTAAAAAGCAAATGCAGTGTTTACAGTTGTGTTTCGCGATGTAATGAAAAATATACGAGCCGCGTCATGACAAAACCAACATAATGGGTTTGCGACCAGCATGGATCCAGACCAGCCTGCGCATCCGCGCAGTCTGATCAGGATCCATGCTGTTCGCTATCAGTTTCTCTACTTGTTATAGGGTTTGTAAGCGAACAGCATGGATCCTGATCTGGTCTGGATCAATGCTGGTCGCAAACCCATTATGTTGGTTTTGTCATGACGCGGCTCAATTATCAAGTTCACATATATTATACTCAACATCACTAATTCCGCGTCATCACTTATTTCACGGTAATGGCATATTTTCATGTGACCAGTGTTAAAATTGGTCAGAATTGACATATTTTATTCAAACACCTAAACAACAAAGTTTTTGTGCAAAATATTTTAAATCTATAGATTTTTACGTAAAACAGAACAACATTTTACAAACTTCTGCAAAAAGCAACAATAGTCCGTTAAATTTGTGCATACGTCTGAAACAATCATCATTTTCTAAATGTTCTTGTTTGTTGAAAAAATAAATTTTGAGTTACAATGTAAAGATACTTTTAATATTTAAAATTATGCAAAATAACATGTGAAAATTTTAACGGAAACATGAAAAAACTGAAATAAAACACCATTACCGCGATTTAAATGATGGCATACTGTTTTCAAAGTGGCCGACATATGGTCTATGTCTGGCTCATTTAAACTGATTTTGACTAAATATATTGTTGTTTTCTTCTGTCATACATCAGAAAATACCTGTGTTACAGCTTCAAAGTGTTAAGTACCGTGAACTAAGAGGAGCACAGTATATACGATCCTTTATAACTGATATTGATGACGTTTTCATCTACGTAAATGGTCAAGTATCATAACAATCGCGGCTATCGTTATATTTATAATAACTACATTTGTAAATAGGAAAATGCCCAGATTTACAGCATATTATAATTATGTCTAAGGAAGTACAGATTATACAAAAATATATGGATGATCAATACTTCAAATTATTTGGAAAGTTGTCAGAAAAACTTCTTTATGGATACAGTCAGTGTATGCAATCAGAATCACCTTATGAAAAGCGTTATTTTTGGCAATACTTTTAGAGTGCTTTTGGTTGTAACATATATATGACATAATCTAATAGTAACAGGTGGACATCATTTCTTTTCTAAACATCACAGAATTTTCAGACTGCTTACCAAAGTTTTCATTAAATAATGATGAATCAACATGAAAAAAATTAAATCGATTATTTCAAAACATTAGACAAACATTAAACAGTAAATTTACTACAGAAAATGTCATTTGAAAATATGAAAGCCTTCATTTAAAACAAAGGCTATCTAAACAACTTGTCATTCAAGTAGTTCTCGATCACTCATAACATATGTTTCCTTACACACAAGTGCGGATTTTTTTAAACTTATATCAACTGATTCTTTTGTCTATGGAACAATTAGGAAGGTATCATTTTGTTTTAATTGATGAATAAATCAATTAAATGATGTGATTCGGATTGCCTACACATACTGTAGGACAAGCACACCATCTATTTACATACTTCATAAGCTGTCCAACTGCTGCAGAGCCAAATAGCATTGTTCAACCTGAACAAACTCAATATATTTTGAAACAGGCTATATTTATTTAAGGCCTAAAAATAACCTACTTCATGAACTTTTACCTCTTCAATTAGACCATTACAGATTTAACCATCCGTGTATACTGTGTATGTTTAGGTTATTTAATACGTGTATATTTCTGTATGTTGCCCAATTTAAAATCTAATTTAGTGAATTGACAATTAACAGGATGTCTCATATTAAGAATGAGGAGGTGTGGAGATTTGTATTAGCTGGTACTTCGTGCATGTTAGCAGCCTCAGGTATGTCACTAATTTTGTTGATAACAGCTAGTAGTATACTGTACTTTTACAGTTTTTAATTATCTAAATTACAGTGAAACGGACAACAGCAGTCACACGTGCAATCCAGATGATATAATTTTTTATGATACTTAAATTTCTATAATAGAAATCTACTAGTCTACATTTTTTTCTTGCGTTATGTGTTACACATACATAATTTATATACTACGTACATGTACATGTATACACATTGCATAGATATAGATCTGCATGTCCTGTGTGTTTATTTGCACCTAGTTTTCTTACTACCACCATATTGACCTCCGAGTACCATGATTCTTCACTAGTCAAAATATATTGACGTGACAAAGCTTGATTCTGAGATATTTTCGTTCTGGGGCAGAATCTCGCTTTAATATCTCGCCTCTAGAAGAGGCGAGATATTGCCCAGACACGAAAATAGCACAATATCTCGTCGCGCAGTACAATTAGTTGGACTAGATTCTTCACCTTAAAGTACTTACAAGCCATCTTGGCTTAAATGCTCAGAAGAAGAAGGTAAAGGTAAAGTAAAGAAGATTGTGCAAAGAAAGTCTGTTTTCTCTGTAGTAATACATTGCTATGGTAATGCTTGGTAATGCTATTTCACAGGCAAGCGTTGCCTAGTTGTTAAGGTGTCTTCCTCTTAACCCAAGCTAGGATCACAGGTTTGAGCCCAATTAGGGTATCAGCAGTTTAATTAAGCACTATAGTTAGTTCCCTGAAGAAGATTAAAAAATGATTGATATATTAAGTTGCACAAAAACTTGTTTTTAAATACACATAGTAAATATCAGCCACTTGCCAAACTATTTTAACTTGAGATCAACTTTGAAATAATCACCCCTTGTATGTCATTAGACAAACAAAACAGGATATTTGTTAAACAAACAAAACAAGTATATTTGTTGAGGCATTGCTATTACAATTTGCTGAAGAGGCCATTGTCATATTTTATCTTATCTTAGATTATATGGGTTCTTATTAATTGTCTTAATAGTTCTTGTTAATTGTCTTAATAGTTCTTGTTAATTGTCTTAATAGTTCTTGTTAATTGTCTTAATCAACAAGAGCATCAATGCTGAAATAGTTATCAACCTTTAAAAAATAAAGTAAAAATATTTCTTAAATAATTTTTTATTTACTTACTTAAATGTTACATAACTTTACATTGTACTTCATTTTCAAACATAAATATGTTGAACTCACAATCGTTTAATTAAAATGTTCAATGAACTATAAAATTTTGTCTTTGTTCACTTAATGATTATATACATGTACAGAATTATGTAATGCATAAATTAACCTATTTTCTGACAACCACTTAAAGTACATTATCAAAAAAATATTTTGAGATTTGTTTGTTAAAAATTATTAGGCCTACTTAAATGTCAGTTTGAAATGGAATTCACAGAATTCATAACCATAGGGCATGGAGGGGGAGGGGGCAAATTTTGTATATTTTAGGGAATTTAAGAAATTCTAAAATTATTAAAAAGACCTTGTACATGCCTTTGTCATCGCTTTTCGTCCGTCGTCCGTCCGTCGTCCATCCGTCCATCATCCGTCCGTAAACTTTTACTTTAAATGACATCTCCTCATAAACCACTAAGCCAATTTCATCCAAACTTCACAGGAATGTTCCTTTGGTGGTCACCTTTAAAAATTGTTCAAAGAATTTAATTCCATGCAGAACTCTGGTTGCCATGGCAACCAAAAGAAAAAAACTTTAAATATCTTCTTTTAAAAAACTCTAAGAGCTAGAGCTTAGATATTTGGCATGAAACATCTTCTAGTGAGTGTCTACCAAGTTTGTTCAAATAAAATCCCTGGGGTCAAAATTGGCCAAGCCCTAGGGGGTCATTGATTTTCCCTATATGCATATAGTAAAAACTTAAAAAATCTTCTTTTAAAGAACTCAAAAGAGCTAGAGCTAAGATATTTAGCATGAAACATGTTCTAATGGGTGTCTACCAAGTTTGTTCAAATAAAAGCCCTGGGGTCAAAATTGGCCCCGCCCCAGGGGGTCATTGGTTTTCCCTATATGCATATAGTAAAAACTTAAAAAATCTTCTTTCAAAGGACTCAAAGAGCTAGAGCTAAGATATTTAGCATGAAACATGTTTTAATGGGTGTCTACCAAGTTTGTTCAAATAAAAGCCCTGGGGTCAAAATTGGCCCCGCCCCGAGGGTCATTGATTTTCCTTATATGTGTATAGCAAAAACTTCAAAAATCTTCTTTGAAAAAACCCAAATAGCTAGAGTTTAGATATTAAGCATGAAACATGTTCTAGTGAGTGTCTACAAAGTTTGTTCAAATAAAAGCCCTGGGGTCAAAATTGGCCCCACCCCGGGGGGTCATTGATTTACCTGATATGTGTATAGCAAAATCTTAAAAATCTTCTTTGAAAAAACCCAAATAGCTAGAGTTTAGATATTAAGCATGAAGCATCTTCTAGTAAGTGTCGACAAAGTATGTTCAAATAAAAGCCCTGGGGTCAAAACTGGCAGCCATGCCCCAGGGGTGTCATTGTTTTTAACTATGTGTATAGTAAAAACTTTAAAAATCTTCTTTTAAAAAACCCAATGAGCTAGAGCTGAGATGTTTAGCATGAAACATCTTCTTATGGGTGTCTGCCAAGTTTGTGTAAATAAAAGCCCTGGGGTTTAAACTGGCCCTGCTCCGGGGGCCTATATACAGGTGAGCGACCTCAGGGCCATCATGGCCCTCTTGTTAAGGTTAACCACATTTTATGCATACACACATAACCTGTCACTTCTTTTAAGAAATAATTCAAAATTTTCATTTGAAAGGTCTGGCATTTTCACATTACTGGCATGTTTAAGTGGTGATTTTGAACTGTACTAGCATTTTTTAGTACTAGCATTTTTCAGAATTTTGATATTTCAGCACTTGCGTTGCTCAGTATTGCCATTTTTCAGTATCACAGTTTTCAAGCACTGACATTTTCAATTTCAGTAACAAATCCTATAGATGTTATTAAAATCCGTATGCAACTAGAGAATGAAATGGCAGAACAAAAAGGTCTGAGCCACCTAAAAGGACGTTACTACAATGGCTGGGTGAAAGGATGTGCAACCATTGTAAAAGATGAGGGAATAGCTGGTCTTTACAAGGGGTAAATATCTGAGGTTTTTTTTTTATACAAATGAGCCGCGTCATGACAAAACCAACATAATGGGTTTGCGACCAGCATGGATCCAGACCAGCCTGCGCATCCGCGCAGTCTGAGCAGGATCCATGCTGTTCGCTTTCAAACTATTACAAGTAGTGAAACTGATAGCGAACAGCATGGATCCTGATCAGACTGCGCAGTGCGCAGGCTGGTCTGGATCCATGCTGGTCGCAAACGCACTATGTTGGTTTTGTCATGACGCGGCTCAAATTTATTTTAGTTTGATTGTGTTGAAAGCTATATTAAGCTTATTGAAGCACTCTCAAATCTGTTCCTGGAACCAACCAGTACTAAGCAATATTATTGAGAGTTAAGTGTCTTGCTTGAATTAACACAGCCAGCAAGCCTTAGATTACTAGTCTGATGCGTGAAACACTTGGCCATGCTACCAGTCACTCTGCCACTCTGTCACTCAAAATAACACTCTTGCAATGTCAGCAAAAAATAAGAATCTCTAAGGCCCAAAACTTTTGACTTTTGATTATGAAAACCGCAGGAACAGTCAGGTGGTTAAATAATTGCTAAATGTCCTGCACAGAAACAAAACGACCATAGACTTGACAATGAGTGGAACAAATGGGAGGTCCTTTACCCTATTGTGACATCCCCTGCACTTTTGGGCATGGGTTACAATTGACAGGTGCATGTTAAAATGTTTGTGTGTTTATTTAGTTATTCCAGTTTTGGTTGGTTCAACTAAACCAACTTTTCTGAATAACTTTCCAAATAATAACCAATTTCTCTGCAAGTGATCCGACTATCTGGATTTGTGAATCAGTGGGTAAGGATGAAAGACCATTAGACTCAAGTTTCTGAGGTCAGAAATTGTCAGGGAGTAATTTTGCCTTGCTAGAGGATTGTACCAGTGATTCCTGGATAACCTGCACTCCATAATTAGCTTAGTAGTCGGATATATACTAAAATGTAGACGTTTGTAAAAGAAATATTATTGTTTTTCTTTTTATTTTTTATTTTCAATAAAATTCTGAAGTTTGCTTCTTAACTGTACATTTTATACTAGTTCTTTGTTTTATTATATACTTAAAAATGAAATATTGAGAAATATTGATGAAATAAAATGTTTATTTTCATTTTCCATAATTATTTTCACTGTAAAAATTTATTTTTCACTGCAGTGACACATATTTTCTGTATTTTCACCGGTGTCTTGCTGGACTACTTTCTTCTAAATTCAGCCAATTTCCAAAATTTAAGGGGAAGTCTTTCAAACTATAATGTAATGAGAAAAATGTATACATGTATAATAAACAGAAAATACAAATTTTTCTATAAAAAAGGCATTATTCTCATCTTGTGATATGAAAATTATCATATTTCATACCGCTCAATAAAATTATCATATTTCATACCACTCAATGAAAATATAACCTGTATTTATAGAAAAAAACTTGAATATCCACTATATATCTTTTAAATGTTATTCAAACTAAGGTAACAGAAAAGGATAACTGTTTTGATAGGGTAGTACCATCTCTGATGAGGGAAGGTTCATACAGTACAATTAGACTGGGTGCCTATGAACCATTGAAGAAAATGTTTGGAGCAACAGACCCCGCCCATACCCCACTCTGGAAAAAGATATGTTCTGGTGCTATTTCAGGTCAGTGAGATATTAGTAAATGTATATATGAGCCGCGACATGACAAAACCAACATAATGGGTTTGCGACCAGCATTGATCCAGGCCAGCCTGCGCATCCACGCAGTCTGATCAGGATCCATGCTGTTTGCTTACAAACCCTAAAACAAGTAGAGAAACTGATAGCGAACAGCATGGATCCTGATCAGACTGCGCGGATGCGCAGGCTGGTCTGGATCCATGCTGGTCGCAAACCCATTATGTTGGTTCTGTCATGGCGCGGCTCATATACATGTACACATTTTATATAATTGAGTTACCCAAATTTCCTGTACCATTACATGTCATGGAGTTCTATAACTATATAAAACATTAATTTTATAAGAGAATAATATGAATGTCAGGACAAGTTGTTGTGTATTAACAATTTCTTATCAAATTAAGACCCAATATAATAATTTCTGGACTTTTTTTTTAAAACCCTGCTGTGTGGCAGCTGTAAAAAGTTGCCATGTACTTCACTTCAGAGTTGTTATATTTTTCTGGTCCTTCGAGATCATTGATTCCAACACTTTTAAGTATTTAAAATTGAGTACAGCTCAAGTCAGTGCTAGGGGCATGAGGGATGTTGCATTTTTTCATTAACCCTCCTGTACAGACTCAATCAAACAGAGTCTGCAGTTTTCATGTAATTTTGTTGTGATTAATGCTTCTTAGGGATCACTTTGTTTCCAGATTTTTTTAGTTGTGTAAATCAAACCTGCAGTGATGAGAAATTGTTCAAAAACCAGGAAGCCAAAAATTTATAATTAAAGCTTACATTAGATGTTTAACTATGACAGTTTTCAAATATCAGTCATAAAAGCGCACATTGCAAACTCACTGGAAATTAGGAAGGAAATTGATCTGTTATTGACAGTAGCAAGTATGTGGATATGAAGTATAACAACATAACACCGAGTAGAGTCTACTTGTAGATTAGGCATGAAAATTAATACTGTAATGGGGGATCACTTATTTCATAGTCAAGCTTGAATAGATATTTTGAAATTATATTTACCAATTCTAGCTAAGCCCATGAAATGTTGTGTAACCATGGAAACTTCTTGCTTTTATTCAGGTGCTATTGGTAGCTCTATAGCGACACCCACAGACCTTGTTAAAGTAAGAATGCAGGCTGAAGGCAAGCTTGCTGAAGGAGAAAAGAAACGATATGCAACAACTTTCAGTGCCTTCAGGGAAATATTTCGCGAGGGTGGAGTCCATGCTATGTATGTAGGAGTAGGTCCCACAGTCAAAAGGGCTGCTATTCTTACTGCAACACAAGTAATTTTTATTTCTTGATCGTTCTTACAAGCATAGATGTTCAGGCTGGTCTGGCTCTATATTGATGTATAACATATATACATTATTATACAGATTTATTATCACTGCCAGTGTTCAAAGGGAGACTAATCTGTTAGAATACATGGTAACTTCAGTTCTGCTGATACAATCATTTATATGAAGAGGTTACACTATAGATTTTCTCAGTCATCACATGACTCTGTGGTAACAGTCAGATAACAATTACAGGCATTGTTGATTTGATTGCTCTTTTCTCTAACAAAAATATCAATAAGTCTTCATTATGATGATCTGTAACTATGTTGTTCATATGTAAATACTACTATGTTATAGGTATAGCTCAAAGGTCAGAATGTGATCTTTTAACAGCTGGGCAGAGGTGTTCTTAAATAACCCATTATCAAATAACTCATTCCTTTCTTCATTTGTTCATTCATTTGTTCATTCATTTGTTTGTGTGTTTGTTTATTCATTCATTCATTCATTCATCCATCCATCCATTCATTCATTTATTCAATCAATTCCACCCATTCATCTGTCTGTCCATCCGTTCGCACTACTGATTAGAGATATAGAGCTAGCTAAGTGTTACAGAACAAAAGAGAACAATAGAGTTCATTCCATAACAAAAAAGGAAGCGGCCAATGGCCCTCTATTAAGAAAAAGAAAATAAGAATAGAAATGGCCCTTTATCTCAATTTGGTCGCATATTCATCCGTCCATTCATATCTTTATTCTGTACTCTTTACAGATTCCAGCATATGATCACTCGAAACATGTGATACTAAATGCAGGACTAATGAGTGAGGGAATTCCCCTGCATGTGACAGCCTCTATGATAGCAGGTTTCTGTACAGCCTGCACCACCTCACCTGTAGATGTAGTCAAAACAAGAGTCATGAACCAGTGTAAGTAACTATAATCAGAAAATATAAATTATAGGAACGCAGCTCAGTTACATATTGATATAAATAAAGACCAAAGTGAAAATTACCCTTAGCAATTGTACATTTATTGTTCTAATTTCATCTGTTCTATTAACTCTCACCTAAAATAATATTATTGCTTTTTTGCACTTTAATAAAGAGTCACCATGGAGGCTTTCAATGACATGAAAAACTTGAAATATTTTCTCAAGGTAAATGTACCATTTGATGATGTATGGACCAATAACTTGTGTGCAAGGTTTCATTTCATGTGCTCACTCAGTTTTGGCTTAAATTGCCCCAGTTGATCTATGTTAAAATTCAAATTTTTCATTTCTACACTTTTTGACCATTTTTGCACTATTATTTGCAGATATTTGAGGTAATTAATGTTTATTGTAAGTTCCTTATTCTAGCTTGAATTACTTAACATTATTTTGTTCATTTGTTAACATTTATGTTATTTTTAAACACATTTTTAATGAAATTACCATGATTCTGGAGGTTTGCTGCTTTAAGTAAGAATAACAAAATAAATTCTTAAGTTATGTCTGTAGTTATCTCCCCTAATGATCCATTCATTTAGTCCAACGATGAATAATGATGAATAATCAATATATATATCTTATATATTCAATATATATGATTTTTTTTTCTTTCTTTTTATTTCAGGCCAAATAACGAAACCATATAAGTCCGCTTTTGATTGTTTTAGCAAAACAATTCGTGCCGAGGGTCCACTAGGGCTGTACAAGGGATTTATACCAAATTGGATGAGGATAGGGCCTCACACTATAGTGACTTTCTTTGTATTTGAACAACTTCGGAAACTTATAGGAATGGTCCCAGTGTAGCTTGTATATTCTTGTGACAACAACCTGCCGGTTACTATGGCAACATTTCAGTGTCAATAACAAACCAGTTGGTACACCATACAATCTGACCGGACAATATAACATTGGCTGCTCAACTCAAGTTATTTTATCATTTTGGTTTTAATTTTCCCTCGAAGTAACAGTGGACTGATCCAGATTCAAAAGTGGATGAGTTCATTGTATATTTTGAAGGGACAGTAGTATAATGAATGAAATAGGAGAGGATAATCTTAAATGTTATACAATGTTGTTGTTGTTTTTTTATATCAGTTTATGTCATACATGTATATACACATATCTGTGAATATTGTTGTATTATTCGAATTTTTATACTTATAGTTGCTGTTTACTTCTTTACAAGCTCAAATTATATATACATGAAATCTGTGCATTAATTTCAAACAAAATATATTTTGTAAACAAAACAATACTCATCTTTATTGTCTAATTTTGATATCAGATGTTGGAGACAAAATACTACAGTCTTGCCAATGCAACTTGAATTTGTTTAGACATGAATGAGCTATAGGTTTATGTTTTACAGCTACATTTAAAACAAATTGGGTATATTCTATTTAACATGATAATTTCTAATGTTCAAATGTTTTTATTTAGCTTATTTTTCTCATTAAACATTTAAGATATTCTCTTGAAACTTAATGATTTTATTTGTCTGTGATCATAATTGTAAATCACATTCAAAGACCCATAACCTCAGCATGGTATCGACTGAATTATGACTCTTTATAAACTTGAAAGATTCAAGGTGAAGTTTTTTTGCGTGCAAGTACATGTAATTATCTTTTCATTTACTAATGTTTTATATCATTTTTAACCTCACACATTTATATTTGAATCTTAAGACATTTAAATTCTTATTTTTATAATTGTGGTTTTGATTTTATACTTTTACAATATTTCAAGTTGTTTATCTAATTTTTTGTGTGTTAATTTTATTGATGTTAATTTTATACACTAACGGGGCAATGTGAACTTTACTTTATTATATATGTTTTCAATTTCATCTCATGCAGTGATATTGTTTTCATGCTCGTTTATTTACATACTAATATTGCATTGTACTTTTGAAATCTTGCTTAGCACTTACACATACTTTAATGAGTTTGAGTTCGAATCTTGTTTTTTTGATACAGTGTTACTTCTGAATTCCGGAAATTCTAAAATTATGGAAGCTTCTGAAATCCAAACAATTTTCAGGGTCCAAATAACTTCCAAATTCTTTTTGGCTAGTCCCACAGGTGCTCAGTTTTCAAAAGTTACACTGTACTTTATTTCTATATAATATGATAATTTTACTAGGCATTTAATCAATATTTGGTAACAATTTTGTTGTTAAATTTTCTGATTTTGTTATACTGAACTTGATTTCTACGTGCTATACATACGGAAGCGTCCTGGTGCCAATTCATAATGTTCTATAAAAAAAATAAACTCCTACGTAGGAGTTTGTAACTCCTACGTAGGACTTTTAAACTCCTACGTAGGACTTTGTAAGTCCTACGTAGGACTTTATAACTCCTACGTAGGACTTTATAAGTCCTACGTAGGACTTTGTAACTCCTACGTAGGACTTTATAACTCCTACGTAGGAGATAAAAAAACCTAATTAGGAGTTTGTAACTCCTACGTAGGACTTTTAAACTCCTACGTAGGACTTTTAAACTCCTACGTAGGACTTTATAACTCCTACGTAGAATACATATCAAAGAACTGAAAGCACAGAGTTCGACGGACATGTATGCTAGAGTATAACTTAAGATAGCATATTATGTAGGAAAATAAATTTTATGAGCCGCGCCATGACAAAACCAACATAGTGCATTTGCGACCAGCATGGATCCAGACCAGCCTGCGCATCCGCGCAGTCTGATCAGGATCCATGCTGTTTGCTTACAAACCCTATTACAAGTAGAGAAACTGATAGCGAACAGCATGGATCCTGATCAGACTGCGCGGATGCGCAGGCTGGTCTGGATCCATGCTGGACGCAAACGCACTATGTTGGTTTTGTCATGGCGCGGCTCATATGTGTCAAGTTGTAATTGTCGCAAGCCACTTTTAGTAAATACCTTTAGTCTGTAGCCAGAGATGATTTTGTCATTCTCTGCATATATTAAACGATGATTCGGTATTATGTACGTTTAGTTATATTTATTATACACATGTTCACAAAATGTATGATTTAAACTTTGTTCAAAGTAGGATATACAATGTAATTCATTATTAAACATATGCATGTATAATGCTCCGCAAACCGTTATGTTCTTAAACTTTACGGAGCAGGAACAAGACACTACACTACCCCCCCCCCCCCCCCCCCTGCCCCCTATAAGGATTTAATCATTTGAAACGGCCGAAAATGGATAAATTGCTCGTTTTTGTTCAGCTAGTTCGTATTGAAATCGTAATCATTAAAGCCTTTTAAAAATTTTGATATATATATGCTTTTGATGTCGAGTAAGTTTTTTTTTTGAAATAGCTGTAAAGCAATTTTTCGGGATACATCGCAAATGCTTACAGACACCTCACCCTAAGACACTGTACTCTCTAGAAACCTGAGACACTTTATTAAAAGGTGAAGTGTTGCAGCATGGCCGTGTGACTAGTAGCCTAATGATCGCTAGCCGCATGGGTTCAAACCCCGTTAGGCGCAAGCCGTTGTTTTTTTTTCCCTTGAGCAAGAAACTTTACACTCATTGCTATAAGTACGTACTGGTTGGTTCCAGGAACGGATTTCGAAAGTGTGTGTCTATAAGCTTATAGCTTCCTACACAATCAAACTTAAATAAATTCTGTATGAACCAAGGTGAAATGACCTCTATATATTTAAGATTTGAGGGGAGGGGGGGGGGGGAGTAAGTGTCTTGTTCCTTCGCCGATATATACCGGTCCGGAATGTTGAGATTTGCATTTCTTATAAAGTCATAAAGTCCTACGTAGGAGTTATAAAGTCCTACGTAGGAGTTTAAAAAGTCCTACGTAGGAGTTAAAAAAGTCCTACGTAGGAGTTTATAAACTCCTAATTAGGCTTTCTTATCTCCTACGTAGGAGTTTTAAAGTCCTACGTAGGAGTTATAAAGTCCTACGTAGGAGTTATAAAGTCCTACGTAGGACTTATAAAGTCCTACGTAGGAGTTTAAAAGTCCTACGTAGGAGTTATAAACTCCTAATTAAGCTTTTTTATCTCCTACGTAGGAGTTATAAAGTCCTACGTAGGAGTTAAAAAGTCCTACATAGGAGTTTAAAAGTCCTACGTAGGACTTAAAAACTCCTAAGTAGGCTTTTCTATCTCCTACGTAGTAGTTATAAAGTCCTACGTAGGAGTTTAAAAGTCCTACGTAGGAGTTACAAACTCCTAATTAGGCTTTTTTATCTCCTACGTAGGAGTTTATTTTTTTATAGAACATTATGAATTGGCACCAGGACGCTTCCGTATATACATGCTATGTACATGTTTTACAAATAATAAGTCCAATAGTTATGCATGATTTGTAAATAATGTAAACATATATAATGTTTAAAAGATTTATTATAAATAATACATCCATCGTTTTTAATACTGTACAGTCATGGTTTATAAATGATGCACACACATGGTTTTTACATACTGTACATGGTTTATAAATCGTGCACACACATGGTTTTTACATACTGTACATGGTTTATAAATCATGCACACACATGGTTTTTACATACTGTACATGGTTTTAAAAATCATGCACACACATGGTTTTTACATACTGTACATGGTTTATAAATCGTGCACACACATGGTATTTATGCCCCCACAAAGTGGGGAGCATATAGCGTTGCACTTGTCCGTCCGTCTGTACGTCTGTCTGTCCGAGCAAACATTTTGGGTTTAGGGGCTATATAACAGTAAAGAGAACAAAAGAGAACAATAGGTTCATTCCGTGATCAAAGGGTTTAGGGGCAAGTAGCCCTTAAGAAAACAAAGAAAATAACAAAGAAAATAAAGCCAAAATGTTGGAACGTCTGTACGTTTGTCCATCCGTACGTCCGTCCCGAAATCTTTTGAACGCAACTCCTCTTAAACCGGATGGCAGATTTTGCTTAAACTTCCAGGGATGAACAACCTTAATGTGTAGATGGTTGTAAAGGAAGGAATTTTTGCTGCGACCAAATTTAACAGAATTATTGCCCTTTGTTGATTTTGCTTAAACTTCCAGGGATGAACAACCTTAATGTGTAGATGGAAGTAAAGGAAGGAATTTTTGCTGCAACCAAATTTAACAGAATGGCCCTTTTCCAACTTGTGGCACAGGTAGCCCAAAAATATTTGACCTAGAGTCATAAGATTGAAAAAACAGTGAAGAGTGGGGGAATCCGTGTCCTATGGACACATTTCTAGTTACATACTGTACATGGTTTATAAATCATGCACACACATGGTTTTTACATACTGTACATGGTTTATAAATCATGCACACACACACACACATGGTTTTTAACAACTGTACATGGTTTATAAATCATGCACACACATGGTTTTTACATACTGTACATGGTTTATAAATCATTTCAGTTATGAATCCCTACAGTATAAATATACCATGCAAATAGCAACGTTTTTTCAAACTAAATAGCAAAATATTATGATATTACTATATTTTTGTATTTGGAGCAATATACTAATACTCATTTGTTGTTTTTATGGATGGAAACAGGAATTACTCACTAAGATATGATATTTTCTCTTTTATTATTATTGTATATTTTACATTTGGTATTGGCAATTGCCTACTGATTATACAGTCAATGCACACAATATATTAATCTTTGATAAATGTTAGGTACATTTCATGATATGTACACAGTAAGATGTGAGAAAATTTGATTTGTGTCTATGAAATAGTGATACTGAGTGTTACAACTCAATAGGGTAAACTTCCGGTTTATAATTTCTAAATGTCCTTCATGTAGTAAGATCGAGACCACATAGTTCCATGTATTGTCTTATTTATATTTTAAACATAATTGAAAGCTATGATGGTTTTTTATGCTGTTGGTTTGTTTTAATAATTATGTTTTGCACTTATTTTGGTCTATGCTCTTTAAATAACATGGTTTAAGAAGTAATATTAGAAAAATTATTTCGGATTATAATCAATAAATGTTATTTCTGTTACGGCCGGTGCAGAACTGTACACTAGTTAAAACAATAAACAATAAACTAAATAAATGATGTTTAAGTTTACTATTAAGTAACAACTAATATTGCAACTATACTGTAAAGTATGTTATTACATGTAGTTACTTGTACTAAGTGGAATTGGTGAAGGGAAATATTTTACTTAAGCAAGATGTTTTGCGGGGATTTTAGGGTTATGGACGTGAAATATTAGTGAACACATTTATACAACCTTTTAACTGACAGTTTTACGAAACAGACTATACAATAACATTACCACAGTTAGGCAAACAAACGACGACACAACAGTTAGGCAAATACCAACCAAATACAACATAACATGGAGGATACAATATACCAGTGATAAACAGAAAACGATACACAGGTTACATTTCAATGTTGTAAAACACAATACAAATCAAGACAAAACTTTGTTTCTAATCTAAGTTTCTTCATATCCGTGTAGACAGTTTGGCAAACACTCGGCCATTTCCTTTTAAATATACTGCAAACATAAAGAAAGAGTAAACAATGGCAACAGTAGGAATCAAACCACAAACCTCTAATATATTAGGCAGTCACTTATTCATGCTGGTGCGGATGTGACAACAATCTATACATTAAACTGGACATTAGTTATATACTCCATATGAATATCTCGTAAACTACACGGACAGAACCGAAGTGGGATCAATATTAATATTTAAATGAGTGCTTTAATGTATTCATAATTGACAGGTCAATAAAATCAGACTATGACAATGTTTGTTATGTTTATGTCTATACAAAACTAATTACTGTAACAAGAGTTTATTGTACTAGTAAATTTTCATTTTTTTTAATTCTCAACTTTTAATATGATATGTATAAAATACAAGTAAATGTGTTTGTGTTTTTACATGTAAGTTGAAGGAATATGTTTAAGTTTAGATTTTGATATATATATAGAAGTATGTAATGTTCACAAATAAGTAATTTCAAAACTTTAGTATTAATAAAATCTCTGAATGGGAATAATTATAAGATGAGAGAGTAGCTTTCTAGTTTTGAAGGGGATCTCAGTATGAAATACTTGTTTGTTTAACAAAAAAATGATTACAAACGTAGTATGTTTTTTTGTAACTGTTTACTTATAAGAACAAAAAACATGATTATAATAAATTTATTTTTCTCACATGTTATCTGTACTTGTTATTTGCATTTTGTGATAACTTCTGAAATTGTT